TCTTCCTGCAACTTTCTTGCTTTTGTTCTGGCTCTCGCAGCATCCGCCTCGGCTTCACATTTCTGAGCAGAAACCTGATTAATGATATCCTGTGCACGAAAAATTTCCTTTTGTGCATTTTCAAGCTGGAGCTTGTACAGCTTCAACTCCTCGCGAAGACGAGCTGAGTCTTGTTCAGCGCGCTCACGATTCTCGGTTGCTTGACGCAATCGGTTGAAGTATTCGAGCGCACGGCGCTCTGAGCTGTTAGCCCGGTTGGACTCTGTCTCGAGACGTTCAGAAGTGACGACAAGAAGTGCGTTGATTTCGCGGACTTCATCGTCGCGAGCGATGAGACGGGCGAGGAGGTGGCTGCTTGAGCCACCGTCTGTGGTGGTATGTTGTGACCGATGACGGGAATTTGATTTGCTGGGACGACGAGGACGGAGGTAGCTGGGTGGTGAGGATGGAGAGGATGGCCCAGACTCGAGATCGTTGGGGTGTTCGTTGGCAATGCTGATCCTATGGGGGATGAGAGGGACATTACGATATATGGTTGTTAGCATACCTTTGTTCATCATCAAGGTCGGCGAAAGGACCCATGGACGATGATAGGCACGATCGAGCACCTGAAAGGATGCTGATAAGCTGTGGAGTGAGAACGTATGATCAGCAAAGTTAAAGGATAAATAGCACAGGATGGAAGGCGCAGCCTCGTGTAATCCGAACCGGATGAAGGAGGGCGTAAATATCAATTAATGGATGATGATTATGAAAGCTGGGGTATGTGACCTGGAAGGGCAGGAACCGGCGACAGGGAAAGTCATGACTTGTACACGTGTTTCAGGCATGCAATGCTATTCACGGAAGGCCTGAAGAGGTAAACAGAAGCCATAGACATACCAAGATGGTTAATCTGGTTTCGAGAATATGATCTCGTGGCCTACACGAAACTTGTATTGACGGCAGAGGTCATTGATACAACGTTGGTGACTATTGTGATTACACGAGGCAGATGAGTTCCTGTAGTAATTATGACGTGTAACCTGCGGGTAGACATTGATGCGTGCGGGGAAAGACGTATAGGTTTACTCCATAGGGAAGCAGGGCGGAGATTTGGACTAGCTCCTTGATGACCCATTGGGATCGACTGGTAAGGGCGTGGTCATCGTGCGGTTGTTTGGCAAGAACGTCTGGAACAAACAAATATGATATGTCACTTATATTAGTCAGCTAAAAAGTAGCCAATCACATGTCTCCTGATATAATTTGATCACTGTTCCAGCTCACCAGTCATCGTCGTCGTCGTTCTCGTCGTCGTCGCCGTCGTTGTTCAAGTGTTCTTATTGTTACTGATCTTTACTGTGTTATAGCGAAAGGTATACCCAAATAGAATCAGTTAAACATTCCAAGTAAGCTTATCTCCCGTTGCTATCAAACATAGTTCTTATCGCCTGCTTAGACAGAACTTGCCTTATCGTTTTCCTTTACAGCATACCCGAATTTCACTATGTCTCACGCATCCTATTCTTCTCACTCCCAATCCATCATGACCGAAGACGAAGAAGATTGGGAGGACTACGTCAAGGGAGGCTACCATCCTGTTCACATCGGTGACTCGTTTTCAGACAGCAGGTATGTCGTCGTCAGGAAGCTCGGCTGGGGTCATTTCTCCACAGTGTGGCTCGCAAAAGACACAAAGTAAGCAGGCACATCTTCTCTCCCCACGTGCAGTCCGTTTATCTTTCCTTCCGTTTTTTTAACCGATCAGAATGAATCGTCATGTCGCGCTCAAAATCGTAAAGTCCGCGCCGAGGTACACAGAGACCGCCCTCGATGAGATCAAACTACTCCAGCGTTTGATCACATCTAACACTCTTCCCGTCGCCCCAACCCCTGATAATCCAAATCCTCCACCATCCCATGCCCACACACATCCCGGGAGATCACATGTCATGTCATTTTTGGATCACTTCCGACATAAAGGTCCTAATGGCACTCACGTGTGCATGGTCTCTGAAGTCTTGGGTGAAAATCTCCTCGGCCTCATCAAACGACATCAGAACAAGGGCGTGCCCATGCATCTCGTCAAACAAATCGCGAAGCAAATCCTTCTAGGTTTGGATTACATGCATCGTTGTTGTGGCATAATTCACACAGGTCCGTTATTTTTGCCTCTCCCTCGGACCTCATGACCATGTTCCGACAGACTTGAAGCCTGAAAACGTTCTTATAAGTATCGATGACGTCGAATCTATCATTCAGACCGAGGTTGCCGCGTCAGCAAATGCCACATCACCACCCACCCGACTCGTCGGCGTACCACCTTCCAAAGGCCGTGGTGGCAACCAGACACCTCGCTCCGAATCCGTTTTCATAACCGGATCTCAGCCCCTACCGTCCCCATCCTCCTCCTTCGGCAGCAGCCCCATGTTCGATAAGCTTGCATTCGGTATGAGCAAGATCGATGGTGAGGCCACCTCCAAGCCCGGATCTTACGGATCTAGTTCAATGGCGAAGGATGGTTCAGCTGGATCAGCTGCAACATCAGGATTGGGCCCCATGGACGCCTCCCTCAAGCGCGCAGACTCGACAGAGGTGGCCGCAGAGCGTATCTCAAATGTCTCACTCCATCCATCCGGATTCAATAAGACGCCGACACCTCACCCTGCCCATCCTCCAGGGCCTTCACTACTGACACAAATGGCCCCCTCCCAGCCCCCAGTTACAACATCCTCTCAGCCACACGCTGTATCGACTTCCAAAGCATCTGTGGAACCAAGTGCTGTCGATCCAAAGCTTTCCACCTCTGTCATGTCTATGGATTCGGTACTGGCAGAGACATCTACAACGTCTAGCCTGCTCGAGAGCACTACGAAGATCACAGTCAAAATTGCGGATCTTGGTAACGGTTGGTACACTTCCTTTTACATTATTGTCATTGCGTTTTTCATTGCATTTTCATGGCTGCTCATTGACATTCGCTTCGGCGGTGCTTTCTATCTTCGTAGCTACCTGGGTCGAGCACCACTTTACAGATGATATTCAGACGCGACAGTACCGTTGTCCGGAGGTCATTCTTGGAGCTAAGTGGGGCACTAGTGCAGATGTGTGGAGTGTTGCCTGTTTGGTATGTGCAACAATCATCATCGCTCAGGGCATACTGCTCATACACACCTCAGGTATTCGAACTCATTACCGGAGGAGACTATCTCTTCGATCCCGCGCCAGGCCCACGGTACAGCAAAGACGATGACCACATCGCCCAGATCATAGAGCTGCTGAGAGAAATTCCGAGGTCAGTCGCATTTTCAGGGAAGTATAGTTCGGAGTTCTTCAACCGGAAAGGCAAGTTTCCTCGAAATTCCCTCCGATACGTTCTTACCGTATCACACTCTAGGCGAACTCCGACATATCAACAAGCTTCGGTTTTGGCCTCTTGAAGCGGTATTGCATGACAAGTACCTCTTCCCGAAGGACGAAGCTGATGCTATTTCTGCCTTCCTCACTCCGATGCTCCAATTGCACCCCGAGCGCCGTGCAAAAGCTTTTGAGCTTGTACATCATACATGGCTGGACGGTATAACGGTGCAGGGCGAGATCGATATCGTCCGGCGGGCCGAAGAAGAAGAGGCTGCAAGACGCAAGTCTACAGAACAAATTTCACTTGATGCCGATGAGGTAGATGCCATGAAACCTGTCGGGGAGGCGGGTACCGGAAGCGATGATGGCACACTGCAGCGGGAATCGGTACAACCGCATCAAGCGCCCATACTATCTGCACCTCCTGTCCCGTCATCCTCCACCGCCAAGGAGAATGCGAATGCCCCCTCCTCAAAGTCATCGCATGTCCGGTAACCATTTCCTGTTTTGTCTTGCACATAGACGTGTGCACTATTATACCGTAGCACTTTTGTTTTTCTCATTTCTTACCATCATATTGTGTTGCTATCTCACAGTCTTGTCTGTACCCATAGACCGCGACGCGATGAACACTAGTACTTACCTGCCCTGCTGTTTGGGTGCCCTTGTTTGCGTAGAGTTTCTATACCAAGAAATGTAGTAAGTAGAATATGGAGCCGTAGTTCACAAAGTGGATGAAGGTAGACCTGTATGCTAATAAAGAAGTAGTTTGATTGTTCTTGACGATCCTTAGCTGTCGGAAACTCGCTACATTCTTGGTAGCTTTGAACTTGTATTGGTATTACTTGAGGGCTACGATCCATCTTCACAACTAATAGACCGCTCCAAACATCAATGACCTCGAGGTCGGTATTGTGAATTCGTGAAGTGTTTGGAGTATATCAATTCTACCCCTGGTCGATCAATCTAACTCGCCAAATTGAAATACCGTGTCCGATACAAGGCAGGTAGGTTGTCAGACTCTCCTTGGGTTTGTCAATGGAGGTACCGAAGTCCATCGCAGAAGACTCTCTCACCACTCGTCTTAGACCCCGCCTCTTCGTCACAGCTAGCGGGCCGAAGTTCATCCGATCGTAGTATGCAATGTGTCCTCCGTGAGACCCGAGTTTAGGCTACTAGTGTAGTACCGGCCGGGATTGCTTGCAAGAACCCGGTTCCCACTAAGGTGAACTACGCGATCCTGCATGTGCTCGAAAATGAAGGGCCCCAGTGTTTCCACGGTATAGCGTTGCTGCTGCTATTTCGTCAAGACGATGTAGATGAGCTCCTCTTTCCCGCCTATGGTCATGCATAGGACTCGGCGTTTGGGGTCTGGGGTGTACATCGTATATTAGGCTTGCACATGCAGCTGTAAGTCATACTTAGTCAGAAAGGACGAACCATGTACGTGGAAATGGGGTGGGCATCAGAAAACACACCATCAATTATGGCATCTAGCACATATCCTCGATTGAATAGAGCTTCAGATCGTCGATGACAACGATTAGCCGAAGAAACAGAAGTTTGATTGAACGTGCGTGGGTTATGTCGCCGTTGAGGATGCACCAAAATCGATGGAAGATCAAATGTGGGGTCCTTCGACTATATCTGAGAAAGGCTCACGGTGGATGTCGTGGAATGCCGCCAGCCCCAAATCTGCAGCCGCCACAAATAAAGCAATAGAGATCCTCACAGAAAACCGACATACTTCCCAAAACCCTTAAGGTTATACCACCGAGGTTGGAATCCTGCACCACCGACAGAAAGAGTCTCCGGAGTCTGCCCAGCAGCTTCGGAGTGAACACCATCACCACCCAGGGCTCTAAGGTTCATAAAAAGTGTCTTGTCGACAACACACACGACGGCAATCAGGTCTTTTGACGGACCCACGAACATCCTGAACCTGTGTGAGTGGGGAACTGAAGTCATTGTACTCAACGTTCTTTTTGACCGGTGCTGCTCGACTGTTTGTTGTGAGGGCGTTGATAGTATCACGTTATCAAGGCCCTCACAACAGAGATGCCGTCTGCATAATGTGATTCCTTCGGTATAAAGACTGTATCGAAAGAATGGATACTAAACTTGGACCATGCGTGGGGTTTGTCCCGATAGAGTTGTAGGCGCTCGGAAATAGGTGTGTGATTATCCGTGTTGGGGACGGGGGGTAATTATTGGCCACGATGTACTGAAGCTCGGATGAAGGACATGTACGTCTGGCGAAGGGCCTTACATACATTGTCAGTACAAAAATCCATCTGAGAGGGGCCTACTAGAGCAAATAACTTCACAAAATTGACTCACAAACGTACAATGAATAATGTATCGGCGAGGCGAGGCGAAAATATTCTAACTTTCCCTCAGGAAAACCAAAGGAGGGCGGGATCCAAGATGCATATCAAGTCCTTCGAGTTTGTCCAAGATTTTATCATGATGACGTGGAAATGATGGGACTTTAAATTTGCGAACGGGTTCAATAGACATGGTTTGATGATACGTGGTAGAAGTGACGTACATATGATATCTTGAACTAATCGGTAATATAGTAGTTCCAAATTTACAAGCACAGTTACAAACATTCCCAAAAATTAGTCAATCAAACCTTGTGCGACAAAATATTCAGTCGTCTGTTGTCTACATGCAACAATTAGAAAGAGTCCAGCGCTCTGAAAAACGCACACCTGAGGGTGTATTTAACTAGCGTCTCAAGTTCATTATGTTAGCATAGAGGAGTTCTCTTTGCATCTTGTAATTGAGAAGGGAGATGGGAAGCGAGTCCTCATTGCGACCTGCAGCGCGAATAACTTCCTTGTCTTGCTCTGTCATCACAGTCCGTAAAAGTAACTGATTCTGCTCATCGGCCCGAATATGCAAGTTGATATACCTATGCAAGGCGATGGTGAGGGGCCGCGCTTCTTGAAATTCAAATCACAGGCAAGAACGCACTCTATACATGTCGCAGAGTCCATGGGCTTCTCAGATTGATTGCCCGTGAGAGCAGAGGAACATAAGAAGGGTTCGCGTTTCCTTGCGATGGCAATAACAGAGCTGGCAATATGAACCGCTACGGTGGTAGAGTTCTCCGTATAGTTGAGGAATTCGATGAGTCCAACAGGATCTTTGCCGTGACCTGCTGCGGTGGACTGTGCTCGAGCATCCTGCCATAAGCGCAGCCGCGTCGGCGTGAGGGGAGGATGCGTGTTCGGATCCCACGCAGAGACGGTATTGACTTGCACCATTCCTTTAAGCTTCTCCGCAATGGGCCTATTATTGAGATATAGTCCTGCGAAGTCGAGAATATCAGTTGGCTCAATGGCGATGTCAACACGTGCCATGAAAGGCACGTCGAACCCGAGCCGAGAGTTGTCGAGCAAACCACAGTCGTAAATGATGGCAACTTTGAGGAACATCATGAGCGTTATGTTTGCGAAGAACGTTCGTACGAATTTGAGGGCCCCCGAGGAGCGTTCAACGTCATGACATGCTGGTTTGTGAGCGGGCCTATTATGAGTGCGATCCGGGTCTGAGATATCTGTTTATTGGTGGTAAAAGAACGCTCACCAATGTTTCTTTTGGCACTATCACAAGAAGATACGCAAGTTGTAACGTCAGCCCCTGTGTTTTGTCCCAGTCACAAATCTTACCTCTTTTGAGCAATACCAGACACCTTTGCACTACAAAAATATGTGATGAGCGCTTGTAACAGAAATATATCAGCCACTAGCACCTTTGAACATTTCAAAGGTTTATCCAACGTTTTTTGACACTGCGTACATTGTACACCGAAAGTTTTCACATGCTTTTTGATCAAATCAGTGGGAGTTGCTGCGATGCGGAAAAGATTGTCCCGGTCTGGATGAATGGCATGGATATGTACAATCTCCTGAGTCGGCGGGGGTGTGTTCAGGTCGGTCATGTTGTCGTCAAGGTAAATGTGTCAGTTGCGACATTGTGTAAGATATTGAATAGGGGCAATCGGAATATCCCGTACTTATTAGTAAGCGTCCAACAAACTCAGTACTCAGTAGTACTTGGACCTAGTTCACCCTAAAACCTCTGATGGTTGCAGAATCAGTCAATTCTAGCACAAGTCGAGCGATACATAACGGCGGGAATACTTATGCGAGATTTTTTTTGAATCATCAGGGGAGCAAGAATCCCGGGGAGCAAGGTGACTCACTGCAATATCCACCTATCAATCTTCCCTCAAATACTCGCCAACCTTCTCCCAGATGCTCCTCTGCACTGTATGCCAATCCGCCTTCCGTTTCTCCTGACAATCTTGGCACCAATCATTCGTCCACTCGATGTTTATCAACGCTGCTAGTCCACGTAGTGGATCATAGCGATATCGGGTGAAAATGCCTGACTCATATACCAGCCGAGCCCACGCTTCGCGTCTTGCAGTGACCGAAAGGCACGTGCTAGCCGTACTAGCAGAGGTGAAAAAGCCATGTGCAGGCTTCTCGTCAGCTTGTTTAGAAGGAGTCGCACTACCACTTGATGGCGCATCGCGGAGGTTTCGGCAAACGAAGGCAGGATCCTCGTGCGCAGCTGCCTGTATCCACATGTCACTCAAATACTCTTTTATCCGTATAAGGCGCAACATATCCACACGGTCGATTTGCTCTGATTCCTTAAGCTTGTTAAGACCGAACCCAGGCATCCTTGCCATATTGTAGAATGCAGGCTTCAACAACCCATCAATGTTGCACATCCGTGCGAGGACAGCTACCTCCAGAGGATCGAGGTATGGCTCTGGGTTCGCGGTTAGCTCTTCCAGGCTAGATGGCCAAAGTACTTCCAACTCCTTCACGAGCCATACACGGTCGGAGTCAAAACCAAGGCTTGTCGCTGCGCGAATTAGGGACATTAGGGTGCGAGGCTCGATAGCATGGCGATAATCCCTGACGCATTTGTTAGCTGATGCAAATATGGGATTCAAATTTCAGTAGACACTCACCCCGGGTTGTCATAAAACAACAGCAGCGTCTCGAAATCTATTGCTTTGAGGTTTCCACAAGGTTTGAGTGTAATTTCTTCAAATTTGTCACCACTTTCTCCCTTGTCGCGGAAATGGCCTGCAATGCGTTTTGAATGCTGGGCGAGCCATGATTGATGCACCCTGAATTGTATGCCGTCAAGTTCAATGATAGCATTTCCGTCTGCTAGCCAAAACCGCTCATGCTTGCGGACTCCTTCGACGAGGTTCTCGGCTCGTGCAGGTTTAGCCCTTTTCTTTGCTGGTTCGGGCTCCGAGGACGATTCGCGTTTGCGCCGTGCATTCTTTACTGGGTCGCTTGAAGTAGCGGGTATTACTTCAAAGACTGGAAGTCGTGTGAGTGGAGTACATGACACAGGAACACCGTCCATTGGTTTATGCCGTTCGAGTCTCACATCGGAGGCTTTAGGAGTCCAAGGAATACTCGAACGGAGACTGCGACGAGGAAGGTCAAGCAAGCTGCGCCTGTCATAGTAGACCGCGCTGGGCCTTGGTTGAGATTTCTGAATCTGATTGACAGTTTGATTATCAACTACATTTTTATCCCTTTGTCGCACCATGTTATTCTACGATCTGTTGTCGCCCTGCAGTTTGGGAGAAGATTTGTCCAGAGTCGAGCGATTCTGAATGAGCACCGAAATCTGCGGGATAGTAGATAGATCACGTGATTGCATTGATGGTGTCATGACACTCTGGAGCGATCATCTGAGACTGAACTCTGGAAGAGAAGTTCAGTACCAAAATTCTTGTAGACATCAATTGTGAAGAATGCTAAGTGGAATATTAAATAATCGGGGAGCAGAAAACCCGGATGACCAGATCTAGATGCTGAAAGAGCAGGTAAAGTAAATGTTCAAAGCGTGAATCCTGTCGACAGCACTGTACCGAGCAGTTTGAAATGGTGGGGAAAGAAAGGCCATATGAACAACAGCGGAAAGCCTAATGAAGTGACGAAATCGAGATTAATAAAACTGTATACTAACTTCCTGGACTTGTACGACAGATAGTCCTGGCACGCCTTTCAACACCGGTCCAAATCCTTTCTATCCTGACGCGAATTCCAGTACAAAGCCAGTGAACTCTATCGCAACTCTAGCAAGACAATTAGCGAGAAACGTTTCTTGGTTGTGCGAAATCTTGAATCATGGGAGGTGCAAGATACTTGGTGATCAAGGTAACTTACTGTAGCATCCACTCGTCATTCTTCTCTTAAATACTCACCAACCATCTCCCAGATTCTCCTCTGCATTTTATGCCAATCAGCCTTCCTTTTCTCCACGCAATCTCTGCACCATTCGTCGGTCCACGGGATGTTTATCAATGCTGCTAGTCCGCGCAGTGGGTCGTACCGATACTGAGCGAAAATTTGTGAGTAGTGAACAAGCCGAACCCACGCCTCGCGACGTGTTGTCGCCGAGAGGCAGTGGCTATCCATAGCAGAGGAGGTAGGGCAAAGTGCAGGCTTCCCGTTGGTATTTGCAGATAAACCTGAGGGTCTTTCGTCATTGCTAGATGGTGCAGCCTGGAGGTTTTGGCAAACAAAGGTAGAATCCTCATGTGCAGCTACCTGAGCCCACATTCCGCTCAAATACTCTCTCATCCGAACAAGGCGTAGTACATCCGCACGGCCGATCTGCTCTGATTCATCCAGCCTGTCCAGACCGAATCCAGGTGCTCTTGCCATATCGTAGAACGCGGGCTTCAACAGTGAATCAATCTCACACGTCCGTGCAAGGCAAGCCACCTCTGGAGCATCGAGGCGTGGTTCTGGGTTGACAAATAGCTCTCCGAGGTTAGACGGCCAGAGCGCTTCCAACTCCCTCACGAGCCATGTACGATCGTTGTCAAAACCGAGTATCGCCGCTGCGCGGATAAGAGACATGAGTGTTGGGGTCTCGATGTAATCGCGGTAGTCGCTAATCCACACGTCAGCCAGCACTATATGATGATCAAAATTCAACATATACTTACCCAGGGTTTTCATACAATGAAAGCAGTGCCTCAAAATCTATTGCTTTGAGCACGCCACAAAAATCAAGCGTAATCTCTTCGAGTCTGCTGCCTTGCATTCCTTGGTCGGGAAGTATGGATGCAATCCGTTTTGAATGCTTTGTGAACCATGATTGGTGCACCCTGAAGTTTATACCGTCAAGTTCAATTATAGCATTTCCGTCTGCAAGCCAAAACCGCTCATGCTTGCGAAGAGGAGTCTTATCGGCTCGTGGGCGTTTAGCCTGTTCGTCTCTAGACTCGGAATCTGTGGTAAGATGACGTTTATACCTTGTGGTCTTTGTTGGATCGCATATCACAGCAGTGAAGGTTGAGGCTGGAAGTCGCACGAGCGAAGTACATGTGACTATACATTCTGGTTTGCAATATGATTTCAAGTCTTACCTATGCCGGATTTCTCATGACTACTCAGACGTGAAGGCCGACTCAGAGCGCTCTGATGGACTGCTCGCTTATAGGACACATCTTCCGAGTCATCCTCTCGTTGCGCCATGATAATCTGTGGCCAAGTCGCCTCTGCAGGTCGGGAAAATCTGAGTCCAGTGTTAGTGATTACATCGATAGGCGTTCGAATCAGTGGTTTCTACTTACGAGCTTCGAAAAGAAGGAATGGTTGTCTTTATATGGGAGACGTGACCAAGTGAGTATGAGCGGCAACGCGTCAATGAATGAATGAAAGTCACGTGATCGTTTTCTGCTATCCCATGCCGCTTCAGGTTCAGTGAGTGACAGAGAACGCTTTGTACGTTGGCTGCGTCTATCATGGGTGGTCCAAATCTCGAGGTCTTTAAATTTGGTCTGTACTTGTTTGTACCCGTCATGGCCTTGTTGCATTTCGGTGATCCTGCTTGGTACCATAACCACGTCCTTCCTGTAGGTTGCCGTTTTGTTTATGATGACTTTGTCGTTGACTATTGCGACCAGTATAGGGAACACCTATTCCCGCCTCCGGATAGGACTTATAGTGTGAGTCTTTTAATATCAATGTGCTGCTCATCCGTGTGCTCAAGATGCACGTAGAAAATACCAACGGATCAAACCGCCATCCGAGAAGAGCTGGCAAGGATAAAGGCGGATAAACTTGCACGACGAATGGAGCGGGATAAAGAACTTCAAACACAGCCGGAGGTACCTGCACAGAGTTCAAAAGGGTGGTTCAAATGGTGGTAGTTCGGGGTAACGGTATGTCGCCTAAAGTTCTCATCACGAGTAGCATTTATAAGTAAGTCGTAGTTGTTAGGTCTCCCTTATTTCCTTCTAAATACATTTACTTCGTCTAGGCTCCTAGTATTGTATGAGTGTGTCCATGTTTCCTTCTATGTTTCTATATCATTGCTTAGGCAGCTGAGTTTCTTCGCCGTCGATTTGCACACTCCAGTAGCTCTGCACCTGCGCTGCAGCGACAATCTCTTCAAATTCCATCATCTCCTCGAAAGAGATTTTGACCCCACCGCACACTACAAAAACTAGGCACTTTTCTTTCCTCTCTTCTGAAGAAAGTGTTGAGAACGTTGGTCCGAGGATACGCAAGAGAAACTCGCGATTATACCCGGGAGTCAGAGTTGTCGAACAAGCGAGCTCCGTCAGTATTTTATGATCGTCTGGCAATGTGGTTATTGTGCCAGCCAGTTTGCGTTTTGCATTGCACAGGGACTCACCTCCAAATAATCTTGCAGTATGCATAGCCATCTCGTCTGGGATGCATGCGCATTTTATTCCTCCGGCACGATCGACTGCCATTCTAACTACCCCAGGAGCTGGCGAGGTCGCGCCTAGCGATGCTGCTCGAGATTTCAGTGCTTTCATGTGTGGAATTGCGATATTATATTCCTCGACAATTTCAACGGTATACGGAGAATTGTCCTCCACTTCGATGGAAGGTACGATGGGGACTTTAGAAGTAAAGTTCTGGGTATTGATGGCGATGGCATTGTAAAAGCAGTTCGAGCCAGTTGTTTCCAGCGCTACCACCGGCACTTTATTGGGCGTGAATTAGAAGTATGAGTATAGCGGTTCAAAATTTTAATTACCTTCATCCCACCCGACGTTCTTGCAGCCTTGCATGATGCCTCCGATGAGGCCTCCCCCACCGACACTGCAGAATATGGCGTCCGGCTTCTTAGGAAGCTGTCTCTGCATCTCGGTCACCATGGATGAATGACCATCCCAGAGGACAGGCGAATCATATGCTGGCACTAGGACACTAAGATGCGTTTGGCTTGCCGTAAGTGACGGGTAAGCCTGTACTCACGCATTTGTGTCTTTCTTCACGGCATCTTGGAGCGCAGCGAGTGTTTGGGAGTAGAATTTTCCAATTGTCACAATCTCTGCGCCATGCTTTCGGAGAGCCTGTTGCGTGTCGATACTTACATTGGTGGGAAGGAACACTGTGCATTTCACTTCCAAAACACGTGCTACAACTGCCGCAGCTAGGCCTGCATTTCCGCCCGAAGCGATCATCAGGTGCACCGAAGGACCATGCTTATCCTTGCATTGTTGTGCGAATTTGGAGATACCTCTGTATTTGAATGATTGAGAAGGTTGCAGATTCTGTACGTACGCCTGTTTGATAAGTCGCACGAGGTCCAAATCTATATCGCACCTCCAACTTTAGGTATGCAGAACATCCGATAATATCAGAAATATGGCTGGAATACACCAAGGGTGTTTCCGTCCACAAATTCTCGGATTGTACCGCCTTAATGGTCATATCGCTAGATGTTGGTTGTTTATAAGCCAGCTTCCGGAACTTTGATGGAGCAATTGTCCCTGCTATATTTGGACAAGCTTAGCTCCGGATTAAATGTTCACACTCTTACCCCGCGTAGAACAAAGGAGAAAGCAAGAAAGTAATAAGAACGCAGAGATTACAGCAGTCGAATCATATCGGGTGAACAGAATGTTGTGATATCAAGCGATCCGCTTTAGTCATTCTTCTGAAGGTACGATTTAGGTGGTGTTCCCATCACGGCCATTTCCTGGTGTCTAGGCCAACCAGCTGCATCGCCGCATGACACCCTGTGACAGTTTGGGACTCGCATCAAAGCACACGAATAAGACGCCACTCGACGCCACCTACCCTTCACCACATGCATCGCTGGCAGTGATCGCGAAGATGAGCATGAAGGGGATAGATAACTCGAGAAGTCGTTTGCCGACATCTCTCCGTCGAGATGATGATTACCTCTACATGTGAGTTTCCATCATGTGGTGCCGCCATGTTGCTGGGTAGCTCTTGCCCCCTAAACACCACCCGAGCAGAAGAAAGAGCTCACTAAGGTATCACGTATCTATGTGCCGTTAATAGTAAATGTCAGACATTGATGCCCGGGTTGTCTCAGTTGTCTTTTGCGCACAGAAGAGCCTGAGGCTGAGACTTTCATCAAGCAACCACTAGCTTCATTGACAGTATTTGCACGAGAGTGATCATCTACCAATGCCAAGAACCATGGTTTCGGCCTGTCAGGATACGTACTAAGGCGTGATAGATCAATAACATACCTCACTACACAGAGCAAGTTGTTGACATAATATCATGCAATGTCCCAATGGTGGGGAATTAATAATAATGCACAGCCCAGACTGATGTCGCGCGTGCTGCAACATTGAGTAAGCACCTATAGGAAGTCATGATTCCGACAGGACGTATTAACAACACCTGAACCGACTTACCGAAACCACTTGCAAATTCAAGACTGGCCGTGATTCGTGGGTAGCAGCGAGTAGCGGAGCAAAATCGGCTACTTATGATTGATATCGGTTAGACCTGAGAATGTGTGGGGCAGGGCCTCGGAGAACGCCTCGAACTGCGATGAGCGGCACGTCATGACCGTACGGTGGAATTATGTACTAGTAGTGCCGCGGATCTTTAACAATTACGGAAACCCTGATGTTTGGCGTGAAGTTCCGTCGAACCTGCACGCGTATCATAATGGAGCGCATTAGCGCCAAAGCCAGACTCCAGACTCCAATGTCTGAGGGCTATGATTTCCTTTGTGTTCGTCCACGCTCATCTCATATCTTTCGGTGTTTGACTTGAAGCGACTCGGTCAACGTTCTGTGACAGCCGGACCGGTAATAGTCATATAGCCGATGTCGAACAGCGTGAAACGTTCAACGGTTTGCAACCAATGTTCTTGGCGACACCAGTCCTAGGCCTCACCACTGGCAGCCACGGTAGTGGCAAAGAGTTGGTTATACGTGGTAAGCGCATCAGTGCATTGCGACTAGCCCTTTGAAGGTATATGGGATGATAAATTCTCTTGGCAGCCAGACCTGTGCTACATATATGATCTGTCAGTGGGAAGCCTCCATTGCAACATTGACATAGGCCAACGCGCCTTCCGTTTACGCCCGCAAATTTCTTTCATGCTCCGACGAGTTTTATCAAATGGCTCTCATACCGGTGCTATGGTATCTCCGTATCAGACACACTGGCTGGCAGCTGGCCTTTGTGAACGGAGGGCCCGTGTGTAGATTGGCACGGGCGTAAGGCTGCGCGAGGCCGGGCTCCCCGCAGTAGGAAACCCCCCTTCGTTCAATGCTAATGCGAGTTGAATAAAAGACTTCTACGCGGAAATTAATGAGCACGTTGTCCTGTAAGACATAAATCTTATGTGAGCTATCAAATTACAGTTGATACAGTGCTGATACACCACCTACAAGTGATCGACCTGGCGTCAAATAGTCCGCAGACGTGCCACGATATCGATGTGCGGAAGATGAAGGCACGAAAGTTAGTTTCGATTACGGACTTTCTGGCGCTTCCGGCCCATAGTGCTCACTTTGGAATAGTTCCTGATACCAGGGCACAATTCCTGATCTTCAGGCAACGAACCAACGGAGGCCACCACCACCACCATCATCATCACCGCCCGGAAACTAACGGCTATGGCGGCCATGCCAGCCACAGAAGCACTGTTGTGTCGTCCATTGGACATTTTAATGCGAATGGACGCGGTTAATGAGGCCATAGTGGCGCGGAAAATTTACCACCGCCTATCATGATGGACTCAAGCATACGATTTAGAATCCGAGCAATTTTTTTTTTCTGCCGTAGGCAGTCATCTAAAAGTGATGATGAAATATTGGGACAGCCTGTGAACGGGTCGTTTGGCACAGGTGGAAACCTTCCGATGACACTTTGTGTATCAGAGTTGTACTTGGCTGTCTCGAATTTCAAAATGAAAACCAACTGTCAGGTAATTTGTGATTTCATAGACCGAAGCCTGAGCCCATTCGTTGAACTCTAGGGAATTTTCAGGTTTCTAGAAACACTACTTCCGTCAGACGCATTTCTATCTGCGATTTATTTGACAGCGACGGGATGGATGGTATGTCCATTGTTAATTTCCGTATGTTCGTACCATACCACCCCCTTCCGCCGGCACTAGACGCCTTGTGTTTTAGCATGCAATACCCAATCACATGGGTCGATCCAGATGCAGGACATGGCTATTAGTCTCTGTTGTTCCCGGACGCGTCAACAATAGTTTCTGTCCCACACTCGGCGCGCGGTACATCGTGTCTTCTTTTGACGCCAGAATGATCCTTCCGTGACATACATGATTTGCGTTATGTACAACGCCATACGTGTCCCTGATGGTGCAAGGTATTTTACAGAGATAATATCGTACACCGGACATCCCAAGGTCGACGGTGTTCTTCAGCAAGGGACAGCCAGTTGAGTGGCTGTAGCCATGTACGAGATGCGGAGATTTTTCCGCAATGTATCGCGGATACACGAATTGCACCCCGCAGACAAATTCGTCACAATCAATCAGCAGTCCGTGGAACATATCACACATTTAGAATCAAACTCAACCTGGGAATGGTGTCCGATACTTTCGTCACTCCCGCACGGCTTGCAAGAAAAAAAATTCGCCGATGTCATGATTGGTGACGTTCGATTTTACGATAGTCGCGGGAGATGCTATGTACAGCTCCGCACGGCTGGAGTTCCGGACTCTGAACGTTCGCCTGTAAGCCTATACATAGCATGAGCTGGACTCGGGTATGTCTTGACATTTCCTTGCAAACAGTCTGCATCATGTCTATGTCTATGTTCCCAGCTCGTTATTTTTTTCAGTCATTCTGATGGGTCTCGGGCATGTTTACGACACAACCGCAGCATGGTGATAAGCTTTGACAGTATGTCTCACATGAATAGACGTTTTTTTAATGGATGTATGATGGACGGAGGGAGCGGGGGCAACCATCCGATATTGTAAAAATATGGATTGTAGAGTGGGATTTCAGTAGGCTGTCCGTGTGGTTAATCACGACCACCTTGTGCGTACTGAACTTCTATTTTGAGAGTACGTAAGGTTGATTGCCCAGGCACTTGGTTTTTCGTAAGCGTCGATCGTTAGGTTTGTTGTCTCCGAGAGTCTTTGCATTTGCATAGCCCCTTGGGGGAGGTCCCTGGGCTATGTGCCTAACGGAATGTCGAATGAAGATTTAGGTGATCGGAAAGAGTGTAGCTGTGCTGGCCCGAGGCGCGGGACGTATATTGGGTGCACCAAGCAAGCAGTGTTATCGGATGGGTCTTCGAGAGTCTGGACCGTTGGCTTAGACCGTCTTGGGTATGGGTAATTCCCTGCTTAATCCGTAATTATCGGTGCCAGGGCTTGGGTACTGGATTGTGCGGATTGGGAATTTGCAAGTTTAATTACTATTCGGCCCTGATTCGGACCAAGAAATTTATGCCAGCACAGATGGGGGATGGAGGAGTACGTCCACACGTGTATGTAAAGGACCTCGTGCGCGGTGATTAGCATGCCTAGGCCTACGCATGTTTTATCTCTTTGGTGAACTTGGCGGAGTAATATAATTTGCCTTGAATGTCGGAGTAAATAAACTGTGTTTGAAAAAAAAAAGCGGATCAGATGTCGTCTGACAGGTGAATGGAAAAGCGCAGATAGCGCATCGGGACTGATGCGGACAAACTAAAGACAAAAATGCCAATTCAAATTCCATGGATGAAAAACAGTTGAACCGCAAGTCCCACGAATTGGTTTGTTTGGAAAAAGTGAATCCTATAATGCAAAAAATTGGGAAAAGGGTTGACAACGAAAAAGATGGCAATCGATAAAGTGTCACAGCCACAATTGATATTCGGAACGGACACGGGTCTAGACTTGGCCATGAAGTAGGAGTTAAAGGGAAGATGCGAAAAAAGCGTGTACTTTCTTCCGATAATAAATTATTATTATGGGGGGGTCAAATTATATACGGCATCCTTTACGGCGTGACGTGTGTTATCAGTGTAAAACGGTGCCGTAGCTCGGCGGGGTTGTTCCTGAACCAAACTAACGGATAGATTTTTTTAAAAGTCCGACGATTGCGGTGCCTTAATTGAGGTGTTGGGCTTAACTCTTTCCAGCGTCTGCAATCAGGCACCTTTTTTATAGAAGGTTGTTCCTCTTTTCCTAACCCGCTTCATGGAGGACTCAAAATCTTCAACTCTCGACACTCTAGTCGATTCAAAACTTTCACCTGCTTCACTTTCAATCTCTTCTCGTTCCTCAGAGATTCACGATCTCAATCAATCATTAAATAATAACTACGACGACAACGGTGAACTCTCTCCCACAGGTTCATCATCCGACATGGCTGCCCTAGTCGCACCAAACAATCCATCTATTTTATCTGCTTCAGCAGGCATACAAGGCGTCAATAAACGCTATCGTCCAGCTCCTGCAAAGACTTTTCAATGCAGAGGTTATGGCGAGTGCCGTATGGTTTTCAGTAGAAGTGAGCATCTTGCCAGGCACATTAGGTAGGTACCGAGGCACATACCCCCGTTCGATCTCTTTAATTTCCTATCAGGAAACATACTGGCGAGCGCCCTTTTACTTGCCATTGCAGCAAGCAATTCTCGCGTCTCGATAATCTACGCCAGCATGCTCAAACTGTTCACGCTGATAAGCAAGAGCAGAATGAGCGCATGATGCGTGAACTTACCTCTCTTCATGCTTCTATGGCCGCCGCAAATAAAACCGGTCAGCCAAGAGGCAAGAGAGGTCAAGCTTCCGTTAATGCTGCTGCCGTACTCGCCTCAAGCAATCATTCAGGATCTCAAGATAGTTCAATGCATGGTCTCGATCAAGTCAAGGAGGAGGACTTGTCTGCCTCTCTCCACCCCATGCACCAGCGTCCCGGTACGAGCACTGGTTACGAGGGTGGTGACAACATGATTTACGGTGACGGTTGGAATTCCGATTTGGATCATCGTTCTGGTAATCCTCGACCTACAAACAACCATTCCTTTCGTGACTCCAGCCAGTCCTTTCGTGTCCCCCCCGCATCCTCTACTTCCTGGCAGCAACAGTCGCAGTCCTTTCAGACCTTCACCACCAACACATTCAACTTCAGTCTCCCCTCTAGGGAACGGGATGGTCGGCCCGGATCTAGCAGCAGCAGGCCACCAACTGCAGGGGGTCCCGACGCACATGCTAGAACGCTCCCGCCACTCGCTGCCGTCGTCTCCGCGACAATCCCCCCTCCACCATCCCAATCATTCGCCCTCCCACCTCAGTCAGCACAACACGTACTTCCCTTACCCTTCCGAAGACCTACAACAGCCAATCGCCCAGGTACAGCTCCCGCATCAATCCTCTCCACAAAACCTGCTTACGCTGGAGGGCCTGGATTGGTCACAGAACTATCCGTTCCAGTCTATGGACGCGGCGACATGGCAGCGCCATCCCTCACATCCTCCTACGGGGGCGTCCCATACGATTCAGAACCAGCATCTCCAACAGGCGGGTCATATGACTCACCGTTTTCCTTCCACCCACCGGCGCTCGCCGAGTCAATCTCATCTAGTGGGCCTTTCGCATATTCACCACCAAACCCTCGCAAACGACCATACCCGGGACCAGACGATGATGTCTCACGTCGAGAACCCAGCAGCGGGCTTTCAGGGCCTGGAGAGTACGAGTACGGGTCAGAATCACGCCCTCAATCTCGAAGGCTCACCGTCCTGGAACTCTGCAACGACGCAGATGCAGATGCAGGAATACGATCATTTCTACCCGGTGCAACAGGAACGGCTTCACGGCCGACTACCGCATCAGGAATCATCTCATCAGCATCATCCCTCACACTCGTCGATAGAACACCAATCTCAAGCTACTCACTACTCCCAGGAGCTCAGACGCCAACAATTCCAGCAGCAGCGTATAGCGCAGGCGCGGCGTCGCTCGGGGGAGGCCGAGTTTCTCCACAATTTCGGCACGACATATCATCGGCATCAGCAGCAGCAGCAGCAGCAGGGGCCATACTTTCCGTTAACAGAGGAAGCTTCGCATCTTCACCCTTATCAGACACATCACGCAGTCCACGATCCCAACCACACGGCGTTGCCTTCGCCACCGTTGCTCGATCCGTCAGCATACAATCAAACTCGTCATCCCCATCATCCAATGGGGCAACCCCTCCAGCACTATCAAAGCGAGGAAGGGAATCTCCAGTTACATCTCCATACTCCTCCGCTGCCGTTGGAATGAGAGTGTGACTGCCGTGGGGGGATAAAAATCATAACTTTTCTCGCTTTATATCCCTAGTAATTGGGGGGTACGAACATTGGTGTTTGTTAGCAGCGCGATTACCTACCTATCTTGTGTTTTCCTCCGTGCTCGGTCAGTACGACTCAAACCCTTTCTAGTACAAGTATTTCATCGTTATATCTTCGCACTCATCTATACCAAAATCTTTTTAATCTTGTGTAGTGTTGTTTATACCTTTTGGTGGGGTTTCGTTGAGGTTGTATGTACTGCTACGGTAGCGCCTCGTATTCGTAATCTTTTGTCGTGTAAATACACCGCTTTGAAACCACCAATAATGCTTGGCTTGGAATGGCCTTGGTACTCGCCACAATCAAAGCATCTCGATGTGAGTTGCAAATCCCCCTTGAATATAATGGGTTACTCTATCCAAGAATAAAAAGTCCACTTATATAAGGAAGTCCTTAGAGCCGCTGTTCATTTGAGTAAAACGATGACCCCTCTTGTAAACACTACTAAGAGGCACCCCGCGATTCGAAATTTATACCCGTTTCGGGCCACTAACGCCAGAGCAATCAGGTCCCCGTCTCTTCCCAATATGTTGGTCTCCCCTAGTCATAGAAGGAAGACAATCGTTCCACCGTGATTCCAATACGTACCGGAACAACTACCAACCAAATCCTGTGCTACAAATTTTATTTTTATACATAAACCACTAGCTAGTAACCCCAATCCTCCAGGGTTCAGGGTCTCCCTGCTAGTCCTCCATTTACCGGCACCAGTAGTAGTAGATCCATACCGACATTATTTTATGTTACGGCTTATCTTTGCAAATATTTTTCAAAGTCCGTAATAATCCAATTCTACCTGCAACGCACATCGCCGGAACAAACCTTAAAGCTACTAAATCATAATGCTCTAGAATGCCCTCATAATGAGCTTGAATGAATGCCATCTGACAAGAGATGGCTCGAGACCGCGACAAAGGCTTTTGGGTCACGCAAGCGGCCCTTCGGAGCTTGAATATACATTACACAGGTGTGCCCTTCGGGCGGACTGAGATTCAGAAATCAGCCAATATGTCCATTCTGTGACTGCACAAGATGAGGCGTGTGCAAACTGGTGGTAACCAATAATAGCACTAGCACGGACCGTCTGATCGATTTATTTTTTCTTGGACTGATGTGAACTTTGCTTGATTGACGGACTGTTGATCAACAAGATGTAGTATACTCTACTTGAAGACATACCATTCATGGGCGATCTTTCCCAGCAAGCCAAAAGACTTTATACGATGTTTGGCCAGTCATCTACACGATTGTAGTCATCGCTGACCAGTGATTCGGAGAACATGGGCATCTGGTGGCGTCTTTCTCTCTTGTGAGAAAGACGGCAAGTCAGGTGGAGAACGGTGAATGCCGCTTGATGTGCGCCTGTGAACGTTCTTCAGCGGCTGATTTTTCCCGTGAGCATCGGGGAGGTCCCTGCATAGGCTATCAGGATGTGCGACAAGGTACGCTTGTTATTATGAAAAGGCACATTGCAAGGAGTGTGCCGTATTCAGCTCGCAACAAATCACGAAGGTTCGCGGAACCGTAATAAGAGGAGCGTACATACGGATTTGGATAAAACATCATTCTTGCTCCTCCGAGTCGAGCTTATGTTCAATTCGGTGCTCACACGACTATTTTCGTATCAGTTCAGTCATCCCGAACTGGACTTTATACTACGCCTCGTTGTACACACCTCTGGTATTGAATGACTTTTTTCGCCTCGCAGATAAACTGCTGACAACGCGACCAGGATGCACGGAAGAAATAAAGAACTAGGAGATTCCTCATGAGTTTGCCTGAAATTTTGAGGGATTGAAGTACCACTTTCACGCAGAACGCCTTGTCTACCACGAAGACATCCTTGTTCAGCCTACCCAAGTCGATGTCTTTTTGAGCGGCGCCATTGTGGGAGTCGAGTCCACTATACACCATTGGCGGATCTAGGGCTATGAAGCCTATGATAGTTTCCAAGCAATACTGCAGAAGATTACCGTGCTCAGACAAATGCACCAATCCTGAGAACTTACTCGATAGACCACAGGCAAAAGAGGTGTGCCATAATACATGTGCTATTTCATCCGAGGCGTGAATAAAGACGACGAACAAAAGTCTCGTCTCTGACTCGAGTATCCCTGTACATAGTTAAGTTAGTATGCCACGTCTAGTGTCACTGTCCAGTGTCAGTGACGTAGAAAGGTGAAATGTACCAAAATCGGGCCTCGGCTCTATAGACGAACCCTAGTAAATATGGCACAACAACGTCCTGTTTTTTCCTAGAATGGAAGGTGGATTGTGGCTGGAAAATTCTGAATAGACTGACTTCAAGTTGTCGAGTTGTTTTTTCTGGCAGATCGGGAGTATGCTGAGAACGGTGTAAGTCCCTGTGATCTTAAAAAGTTGTGCGCTTGCTGAAGGGTGTATTATAGAAAACCACGCAATGCTAGGTCAAAGCGGGCTTTGGAGGCTCGTGAAGCCAAGGAGGTCGAAGATGTTCGGACAGCGATATTCGTAAAGGGAACTCATACAGGGGAGATACTGAACGGTGTGATGAAAGAGCTGGTGTGTATTGTTCGAAAGTCCTCGAGGTTGGAGACTGATCATCAATTAGATGGCACTCAAACGACCAGACGCAATATCGTTCTCGAAGAAAAACACCGTTCACCCCTTTGAGGATGCTTCGTCCCTTGAATTTTGGGCGGGCAAAAATGATGCGTCCATGTTCCTCGTGGGCCAGTCTACGAAAAAGAGACCTGCAGGTCTTATTATTGCACGTACATTCGACTCGAGACTACTGGATATGTGCGAACTTGGAGTAGACAAATTCATCAGCATGGCAGAGTTCAAAGTGAGTATTTTTTCCCTTTGCCGTATAATCTAATCTAATAATTTTATGGGCGGTAGACACCAAAATCAACACCGGGACATAAGCCCATGATGCATTTCGCATCAGAACTATTCGACACCCACCCACGATTTATTCAAGTAAAATCATTGCTTATGGACTTCTTCAATGGAGAAGTCATCGATTCCATATGTTTACCAGGGTTGGAGCATGTAATCAGCGTTAGCATCGCACCTGCTCCCTCACTACAAACGGCAAATCCTATTCTAGGCGACTCCCAGGAAGAGGATGTCCAAAATCTACCCAAGATCCATATACGGACGTACACCGTGAAGCTACTTCCGTCGGGAACGCGTATACCACGTGTCGAGCTGACGGAGATGGGCCCCTTCCTTGACCTATCACTGAGACGTCATCAAGCCGCTGATCCAGAAATGTGGAAGGCTGCTATGAGACGACCAAAGTTGAAGAAGCAAGACTTGGAAAAGGGTCTTGGAAAGAAAAAGAAAAATTTGGAAGTGGACGAAATGGGCGACTTGAGGGGACGGGTGCACATCGCGAAGCAGGATCTCAACAAACTCCAAACGCGGAAGATGAAAGGCTTAAAGGGTATGCTGGTGGAACAGGATGGGAGTTCAGAAGAGAGCGAGCAGGAGGACGACCCTCGACAGAAAAAGCGAAAGCGGGATTAAGGGTGATTGTATTCATAGTCCATGTCCGCCGTGGGGTTATTCTTTAATGGACGCGGGCAGCTGGGCAGAACATGGCCTTATGGCATCTACCTTCCCACTTAAAGCCGTGCCCGCTCCGCTTATTACATAAGGATTTGAACAACAAAGGCGTGGTAGCTTGATTAACTGCCTCTCAAACTACATAGGTAAAACTTCTCATGCGCGTGGATCCTGTTGTTCGTTGACCACAACCACCTGATCTTGCTGGCCCAAACAGCAAGTCGAAACTTGATCCCTGAATTATTGAAGTTCTGATCTTTTCAAAAGATCCATTCATTTAGGTTTCAGATATGTCTAGTGCTCGTAAGTCCATGATGCACTTGGAATTTGTACATTTCATTAGACAGCACCTCAGCAGTGACGACAACAACCCCTGCGGCAACATCTACTGGGTGAGTTCTTTCATTTATCACATGGAATCCAGATTGGAACTCCAGCGCAGCGGTACTTCGGCGACAGCAACTACATCGCCTACTACTACGTCGTCGTCGGCTTCGACTCCAACGACTACGTCCAGCAGTACTACTCCTACTTCTTCGTCGACCTTGGCGAGCAGTACTGCTAGTACGACATCAGCTTCGTCCACGACGCAATCAACCAGTGCTACTTTGTCGAGCACTTCATCCACACAGATCAGTAATTCTGTCTCAGCTACTACTCCTACCACAGTTGCAACAACATCGCCAACACCCACTCTTAGTGCTTCAGTCTACACATCAACCAGCGGCGGTGTTGTAATTACCAGTGTAACCTATGTGACTGTGGCAACCTCCACTCCTTCATCTGCTAATAATACCGCCACTTCATCCACTTCGTGAGTTCAAAATTTTAAAATACATTCTCACGTAATTCACATCACCGCCATCATAATAGGTTCTTTTCGAACACTGGAGCCGTTGCCGGTGTCTTCACCGTCGTTGGTCTCATCGTTATTGCGATTTTCATCGCACTTGTGACGAACGCCGTTCGCCGCCGTCGTGCCAAGAAGTTTGACAGGGACGTCGCGGAAGCAGCCGCAGAGGCGGCCGCCTCTTCGCGTTCGCCATTTGATGACTACGCGTACTCTAACAATGGCGGTTCGGGCGGCGGATATCCATACTCGGATACCACCCATGGGACTTTTGGCCAGGCTCCGATGAATCTTCCCAGTGACTCATATGGTATGAGTGAGATGACACAGTATGACCCATACGCAGCTGGGGCAGTATCTCTCGCTACGGCTAACGTGGGAAGGATTCGGAGTAGGCAAGACAGTGAAACTCATCGTGCACCAGGCATTGCTGGTGTTGGTGCAGGCAACCTTGCTCGCGAGCCGAGCCGCAGGACCCCATACCACGCTTTCGCTGGTCCTGGCCCACAGCCCCACGAAATATTGGATCACACCGCTAGTGGGCGATACAGATCTCGCGGCATCGAATTGCTCGAAGGCGCTGGTCTGGCGGGAACTGGAGTTGCCGCCATGGCTGCTGCCAACAATGGAGCATATATTAACCGCCGGCCTTCGGAATATACTCGTCAGACACATGGAAGTATGCGTTCACATGGGCACTCGCAGGGTCACTCGTCGAGCGAGAACTACTCCCTGCCCATTCAGCCTGTATACCAGTCACCCCCGCGCAATGATACCCAGTTCGCAGATGCATACACTGGCTTTGTTAATTCACCGTCTCAACTTCCACTGAATCATGGGGTTCCCAATTCTCATGAGACTTCCCCGTCGCCACCCCCTGCTCAGTCTCACAGTCCTGTAGGCGAAGTCGAGGGTGAAGATTATCACGACGATGGTCCTCCGAGTCAGCGTATGAGTTACGCTGACGACGAAGATTACGGTCAACACAACCGTGTGCTCAGAGTACGTAATCACATAACCCATCATTTTTTTTTGGCTCACGTGCTCATAAACAGGTCGCAAATGAGTGAGACCCTCACAGAAATTTCGCCGCATCTGAAATTTGTTGCGGACTTGTTTGCGTATTATATCCGCAGCGTCGTCGCTCTTTTCTGTTTATTACTTATATCGATATGTTTTCTTGTGATGAGGATGCAAGGAAAGGTGCTGAACTCTAGCTTATATTCTCGGGCGCTCCCTGGCCTTGGCGCTGTTTTGCTGCGTCACGTATTTAGACTACACACGCTGCTCGGCTAGTACGAACTGTTTAGTGTAGCGTCCACTACAGATTTGTGATGTGCCCGGAGAAATGAGAGAATTTCTGTTGGTTCCTCTTAAGTTTGTTGTGTGATATGGTTTGGGTTGTATAAATCCCGATGCATGAAGATCCATTTCAATGATGTGAACTGTTGGCTGATTTACAACAGATACACGAGATCATTTGTATTCCACAAGGCACATCGTCGAATGAGGCCTGAGGCCTTGAGGTACCGTCCGTGGTCGATCATCAATCAGACCTCAGGCCCCCAAAGACAAGCTCTTTCGCTCAGAGTTACGCCGTCATAAATAGCTCGCACATAATTCTCCCGGAAAACCTCCGACAGTTGCATGTGCTGCTTTATAAAATACAAAGCTGCGCGCTACTGCCACTGGAGTAAAGTAGGCATGTGCAATCAGACGTGATACATGACATGAGAAATCAAGCATCCGCTTGACACTGGCAGCATTGAACTCGTCTTGATCGATGCACTCTGGGCAAACTGGCGGAACCGTCCATGCAGAATCCCTACGAGTCAATGGTTGTGTTGTTTATGAGAAACCTTGTGAAAGTCCGGCGGAGTACGATAATTCGTTGAGGGGGAAGTCTGATAATAGCTGCAAGGAAAATGAATTCGTTAATTGCTGGTACATGTCTGGTTCTCGGGATGACTCATTATTTCTGATGGCTCTCGTCAAGTTCCCATACTCGTTCGAGAAGCTCAATACGTGCCACACCATAGAGGAGGGATCTAATTAGAACCAAGACATAGCAGTCAGAGCTACTTGGGTCACCTGGGCGGAATAAGCGCGATCCCATATTACAAATGATCATTTCACTGGCCAAATCAATCGCCAAAAGACCACATACACACCTGATTGACAAGGGCACGTTTACGCAGTTCTTGGGGAACGGGATTCGTAGGAATCACTAAATCCGATATGATGGTGGATGGCCTCGGACCGCACATGTAAGTACCGGACTCCATCATGAAATCAGAAATGGGATACATTGCCTAACGTATATTTCGATGTTCTCAGCGGGGGGTGCTCGGTGATACAATCACGACGTCCCTGCAGTACGCGATTCGGCCGCAGCAGCACGAATACGGGGACGCTGTGTACAATATTGAATATTCGGAGATCACGATAGTCCTTGAATTGATGAAGGAAAATCGATAGTAACACCAAGTCCCTCAAGTGCCGCGGGCTCGCTATGTGATATGGATTCTCGTGACCCGATCAGTCAAATTCCGCAGCAGCCTACTCTGTCAAATCTTTTCTGATTGATTGCGCTGAGCGCTCAATGTACATCGGCAATGAATTGGTCATGACGACCCGGGCGCGCTGCTACTGATGATGAGTATTGGAGAAACCAAGACCATATAGTCAATGATAGCAACGGACCACATCAGAAGATTCAGAACGCCCATTATTAATGTTGTCACGATTGGGCTTTGAGCGACGTGATCATCCGGGGGCCATTCACCGATAGGCAAATTGCATGTAGCGGACGCCGTGACATGATGCACGATGATCGGCTGAAAGTACACAAAAGCGTTAAAATTTGGTGAACCTCCCAAAACGTTCGATATCATAAAAAATCGGAAAATGGCGGTGAGGAAAAGCCAGAAAGAGAACAGCGGGCGTTACATGCCGTGGACCGTCACGCGTCACGTGCCAGTCTGATCAATTCTGACAGCCTAGGTTCAGTCCATTTTCCATTCTAGTCGCCAGAATGCAAACGATACTGCGTCGACCATGTCAATACTGATCTGCATCGCTACAACCCGTTCCACATCAGACTGTCAGTTCATCATAGCCTTGACACGTTCTCGACAACCCCACCTATCGACACACATGCTTGTCCAGCGTCGTCCCACTCTGTCCCGGTTGGAGGTCTTTGGCTTTGAGGAAGGCGCGTAGCAACGACGAGTGCGTCACTGCGGATGTAGTGGATGAGCTGCACGATTTCCGAGCGGAACCTTTATAATGAAAGTTCTTGTAATCCTGCTAAACGGTTTGAAATCAGATCAAATCGCCTGGATGGCGACGGGCAGATCCTCATAACGAAGGATGCCACTCCTAGAGTGGAAGTGTCCATGGGCAGAGATATCTCCCAGACGATGTTTGACTCCGGTCTTGAACAGCACGCGGGCCTTTTCTTCCTATGGAACTGTTGCTGAAAAAGGATTGGCTGATCAATGAAAAGTTTACGGTCGACAAAGAACTACCGAATGTCAAAAGATAGCAACCTGAAGCGGCCAAAATGTGGCGTCCTACGTCCACCGAGGTCCAGCACTTGGAAACGAATTGACGGATTGAGCATCCATGTCACAACCTGTTCTGATTTCACCTCCGATGACCCTGCAACGCCCAATGTCTGAGAACAATACCGCTGGCAACACTTGACATATCATAAGGCCTGTCATAGTATGTACACGGAAAGAACGACCGAGAAACTGGAAGAACCCCTGATATCTGATAGTCACACGTCATCGTGATCCCTGTACACTATCAGGTGCAACATCCTCCTGGAGGTGAGCCTCACACGTATCTGTCAACTGTTGATATACTCATCCTCGTCGGGCCACCACCCCAAGATGGAATTCAACCTCAACTGCACGATCAGAGGCGGTGGCCGCAGCCATATTTTCACTGTCAAGATTTCATGTGCGAACACTGTCGATGGGCGGAGACATGCGATCAAAATGAAGGGATGTATGTTCCGCGATTCAAACGCCAAGGAAATTCCTCTTTGAAACATTCCCCTACCTATCGACGATAGCCCGGATCATAATGAGTATTGACTTTCGCACCCGAAGTTTACTATGCCCTATGTCATCATCGTTCAAAGTATCCCCTACCATGTCCAAGAAACATCACTTGCACATTGTTGCCCGATCACGACCTTCAGGTGATTTGTCAATCAATATTGGATCTCATTCCTCCACACTGATTATTGCCCTATACACGACCGACTTTCGGCCGTGTATTTTGCAAAACAGAATGAGAAAGAAGTCATCTTCGCAAAGCCGAGGTCACAGAGACCCCCCTGTCTTGCAAAAAGCCGCCCGAACAATCGACGAGATTAATTGTTCATCGTGGTGGTCAACCTAAGATGACGGGGAACATGACTCGGAGAATGCTGCCATGCATCGCTGCCGAACGCTCATGGCGTTGGTCTAATACCGACGAAGGAGGAAAGCCTTTGGCACGAGGGGCAAGGAGGAGCAGGTAACTGACATCGAACTTGAGGGATCCTATGCTTTTTCTGGCCATAGAACTCCTCAAGTTCCTTACTCAGTCTGCTTTGTCAAAGGTTGTGTATTTCTACTTAGTACTTATAAGTACTGTAATGAACACTACCTATCACTCACAGCGGGAACAAAAGTATTTTCTATGAATGGGGATGGATGAGAACCGCGAGCAGGATGCACTGGCACTGCGGCTACAAGTGAGGATGTTACGGCATTAGTCGGAAGCTACATCGAAAAGCCCTTGAGGTCTGCTAGCTTGGTGTCCCTTGAAATCAAGGTTTTCTCTCGGGACGTCTTGTCATGACGAGTTTTAGCATCAGTGGAAAGTAAACGAACATATTGCATTGACTGCTGTGATTTTACAAATATACATCTGCATCGCTACAAGCTTACAAGCCGTTCCACTCGAACCCTTTCTCAAGTACAAAGCTGCCGACCAATGGCAATTCATCACAACTGCTGCCCACCTTGACACCATAAACGCCCTTCTCGATCACCCACCTCTCTATCCTCTCCTCCCAGAACGACACAGCATACTTGTCCAGCGTCAACGTCAACGTCTCGCTTTGTCCCGGTTGCAGGTCTTTGGCTTTTCGGAAGGCACGAAGGAGCAACGGGGGGTGCGTTACGTCGGACGTGGTAGGCATCGAGACGTACAACTGCACGACTTCGGATCCTGCGAGCTTGCCGGTGTTTGTGACGGTGACGGTGGCGTTCAGGCTGAATTCGCCGTTCGAGACAGCTGCCTTGGAGAGTGTCAAGTTCGAGTAAGAGAATGTCGTGTAGGAGAGACCGTGACTATCGACGCGAAATCAATCAATCCTCTGTTCTCTGTATAGTTGAGGCTGAGCTACTCACCCGAACGAGAACTGTGGTTTGATGCCTCTATGATGGAAGTGCTTGTAGCCCTACCAAAGGAAATGAGCGCAAAATAAGATCCACAATGGATCGGACTCACAACGAACAAATCCTCGCCGTAACGGAGGACACCGTTCTCAGAGTGGAAGTGTCCGTGGGCAGAGATATCTTCCAATCTCTTGGGGAACGTCAAGGACAACTTGCCCGATGGATTCTTCTTGCCGAACAGAACGTCCGCAATCGCGTCGCCCGTCGCGTTACCCAAGTACCATGAATGAAGGATCGCAGGAACTGAATCTGCCCATGGAAGCGTTATGGATGAACCCTAGCGTAAACACGAGATCAATTCAATTGAGGCCATAAATCTCATCTTGATTGCACTCACGGATTGGGTCACGACAACAGTGTTGGGGTTCACTGCTAGCACCTTCTCAATCAGCTCATCTGTACGTCCAGGCAGTGCCAAGGTCTTCCGATCATACCCCTCCGTCTCCCAATCCGCATTCAAGCCGACGACAGCAATAACCACATCAGCCTTCTTCGCGATCTCCACAGCCTCAGCCATCTTCACATTTTCATCGATCACCTCTGCACCACCAAGACGAACGCCGGGGTTGCTGTCCATCACCATCTCGTCTTCATCACCGTCTGCTGGTGCGCGGACGTTACAGAACTCGACGAGGATGTGATGTTTGACGCCGGCTTTGAGTGGCACGCGGCCTTTTTCTTCCGTGGAACCGCTGCCGAAGAAGGATTGACCACGGCGTTGGCGTGTCCAGTTGTCAATGACAAGTTGACCGTCGACGAAGAGCTACAAATGTCAATGTTCAGTGAGATAACAGCAACATGGATATGGTGGCGCACCCTAGCCCTTCCAGCGACAGTCAAGCCGAACTCGAACAAACAATCATGTTCGCGGGGCTTCAGCTCACCCTCGAGTCTCATCGTCCAACGTCTCGTGATGCCCTTGGGTGCCGATGTACTGATGAATATCCTCGTCTCATCAACCAGACGCGTCGAGTAGGGCGTGTTGATTGCAGACATGCTCTCGTCGTCTTTATGCGCGTACCACGTAGCAGTCCAGCCCCGCTTTCCCGAGGGGGTGAAGAGCTCGTAGTCGAGTGTGGGCATCTCCATATAGGCTAGCGGAATGAACAATAAAAACACAGCTCTTCTCATGTGAATGACAAAACCACGTACTGCTAGCGCCCTCGCTGTAGAGAACCTCCACGCCTTTGGGAAGCGCAGCGGTAACACCATCATACGGGGTCACGAAGTACGATGGTTTGAGTGCGGCCGATCCTCCTCCAGAAAGTACGATAGCTTTTGCGTTCCCTCCGACAATAGCAATCTTTTTGATCTTGTTGGGGTTCAGGGGGAGGAGGGCGTTAGTGTTTTTGAGCAATACGATGGATTCTCCTGCGACTTTGCGCATGAGAGCTGTGTCTTCGGCACTTTCGACGGTACGTTCTATACCATCTCCATCGAGGATCTACGAGTGTTTGTCATCAATAAAGAGCATGGGACGGAATAGGAATGTACGCACTTCCGGTGCTTCTTGAGCGACGCGCTTGGCAAGTTCGACAACTTTGCGGGCGCGCTCTTTTACAGTCCTCACGGTCAATTTCCTTGAGCCAATAGACCTGTTCATGAGATCAAGGGTGCGCCACTTGTTGGTACCTGGCATCTCAAGGTCGAGGCCAGCATTGATACTCAAGTCTATACTGTAGATACCAAACCTAATTCAACATATGCAACATGAGTTACTACTCAACCATACGTGTAAATGAGGAACGTACCAATCGGACATGACGAGCCCCTCAAAGCCCCACTCGCGGCGTAGGATGTCTTGCAAGAGATGCTTATTCTCAGAGGCGTGGGTGCCATTGACACGGTTGTACCTAAAATATGACCATGAAGATCAGTACGTGTCGAAGTTCTTCTCCTGTGCTCCAGGAGAAGCACAGTATTTGAAATTGAAATGCGAACGTACGAAGTCATGAAACACCACGGCTTCGCATATTTCTGGGCAAGCATGAACGGCATGAGGTAGATCTCGCGAAGCGCACGTTCGCTTAGGATCGAGTCGTATGCCATACGATCGTCTTCTTTGTCATTGCACCTGTATTAGTCCCGAGTTAACATGGAACGGTGATCGGAATCGGATGATGGGACATACACGAAATGCTTGATTGTAGTTCCAATGCCGCCTTTTTGAACACCTTTAACGTACGCGGCCGCAATGAGACCAGATAGGAGTGGGTCCTCTGAGAAACTCTCAAAGGCCTGAACAATGGAGTACAAAATTAGATGGGATCAGAGCTATCATTCTGGATATGGGACTTACACGGCCACCTAGAGGGTTCTGTAGTCGGTTCGGTAGTCATGAACGGGTGCACATGAAAGGATGGTAAGAGCAGACATACGCGTTGGATGTTACATGTCGGGGCAAGAATAACAGGCGCGGCTCTGAGCTTGGCCTCGCTTGCGAGTAACTTCAGCCCAACTTCCTCGATCAGTTCCGTGTCCCAGGTAGCTCCAAGCGCGGTAGAAGAAGGCAGGCACTTGGCCGGTGTACTCATGAAGAAGTGATTGCCTCTGATACCTGCATACATGCGTCTGAATCATCGCGTTTTTAATCGAGCAGTGAATCTGACATACCGTTAGGGCCATCGCTAACTTTTACAGCGGGTATTCCAAGGCGGGCGATCTCATGGGTGTGCCAGAAGCCAACACCAGCGGTGAGGAGGATAGCCTCATCCGTAGTGAGCTTCTCGACGATATCATCCACGTCTGCATTTGCGAAATCTGACCACGGCATGATGGATTTTGAGTCCAAGTGAGATCTGGATTGTAACGACGCGCAGATAGTCTAGCTTCTCACAGGTCTGTGAGTGCGATAGGGACGAAAGATAGGAATGAGCAGGACTTGTCTCTTCTCCGCACTCTCATATTGCTCTCATATATACTGTTCACTATCACTATGAAGTCCACACGTGACATTTCCGAGATTTCTCCGATACCGAGAATTCGCCGTCTCGAGTCTGGAGTAGCAGTGAAAACACTGAAAACTGCCAAGTCGGTCGTTGGTTTGATAGCAATGATGTTGCAATTTGGGGGATGCGTCGATATTGGATAATGGTTCTGCATCATGATAGGATATGCGATATTCCGAATGGGAGTCCTTGGGAGCTTTCTCGATGGGTCGGCGGAACTTGAAGAACACCTGGAAACAAAGACCGCGAGAGATGGGGGATACGGCGACCGCCGGTGGTAATATTGTGGGGATTTGTATTCCCAAGAAGTTTATGCTGTGGGGCAGGTGATCCGGACCGTCTTCGCTTGAGGGTTTGCATACATGGCTTTTGAAAAAAGATAAGTGCAAGGAGACAATAGTAACACGTGCTGAGCGCAGCACACTCATGTGGTCATTAACGACAAATTCAGAACAGGTACATGCGTATCATTTCAGATACCACATGACTTCGAACAGCATGAAGAATTGGGCAGTTGCTAGGCGAAGCATGTACTTTTGCTTGGTTACGCGAGTTGATTTCTTGACCACGTGACACAACGACGCGTCCAGTCACTCTCTAAAACAATATGCACAAACTATATCGCACACATCCATGATTCCATCACCTGTTGGCACCGCCAACATGCTACGTGTACCAGTGTTACAGCCTAAATCATCTTCGCATTCACGCAGCGAACCCCCTTCTCCATCCGAGTTCCTGCAACCATCCTCCTCTGGCGGTCTCACAAAGCCATATCGTCAACCTTCAGTATCACGCGGGACTCCATTAATGAACGCTCGTGCGCTTTCAGGATCCGCAGTACCCACAAAATCGCGCCCTGAAAAACGCCCCAGACCATCAGCCCCACTTCCAACCACCGACAGCAGTCAAACCACCCGCGTCCGGCCAATGCGAACACCGACGCCGCCCCCGGAAAAGGTATGTCTACCCGCCAGCCTTCTATTGTCTGAAGAAGAAACATCCTGACTCGTCTTGCACAAGCCAATAGCCATTCTCCCCCCACCCCTCCCAAAATCCCTTCATGCATTGAATTCCCATCCTCCCGCTATATTCTCAGGCAACTTCGACCTCTATGGCATGTACCTCCCCTTCCTTGTCAAAGCCTACCTCCCGCCGGGCAGCACATCCCCCGACTACGCCGCAGTCTATGACACAATCCTAGCTTACCAGTCCAAGCACGACTATACCGCCCGGTGCTTCCTTTCGCTCAGCTCTGACACAGGTAGAGCAGAAAGCGTTTCTATATTCGATCCCATGATGGAGCGCCCTTTTGACGTGCTGATAAGCAATTTGAAACATCGTGCAGAACTCACGTTCACCTCGAGCGAACGCGCTTCTTTTCTGGCCCCTGAACACAGTCCTGTGTCGCCGGGCGTCATCGGACAAGCGGGGCTCCCCCCTCAATGTGGAGTCAAGAACGCAAAGGGAATATGGAAGATGAAGCGCGTGTGGATTGGGGAGGGCATGGTAGGAGAGTGTGAGAATGTTGGTGATGGAACCACAGTCGATTGCGTCGGTGAGGCAGCAGATTCCTCGACGAAAGCGAACGCAGGCAAAAAGACGAGCAAAGCTGTGAAAAAAGAACTTTTTGAAGGCTACTTCTCCTTCAGCGTCAGCTACGACCAGATGTACAGAAAAGCAGGTCACGGGAGCGGGTCGACTTGTCGGTTTGCGTTTTGGGGTGTTAGAGCGATGAAGGATAATACGGGGAAAGAGATTGGACTTGGCCCCGGGAAGGGAATAGGAGCGGGAATGAGGAGGGCTGGACATTAGAGTTCTGTTCGTACGTATACCCCATGTCTTGAGTTTTCCTCCGGCCTGCAACTCCAGTTACAAATAGCGTAACAAAATATCTTGTGCATAGATCAAATATCGATACTTCTGGCTTGTTATATATCATCGCAGCAACGAAGTACTTTTGAACATTGCAGCTAAAGGACAATTATTTCCTTATCTTGCACAATGCGTAGTCACCACATACCTATTCCACAGCGATGAGGGGCCTGCAAAAGAGAAATTCTCGCTGCACTGGAAATATATCAATTATGCCCTCCCAGTCTTTGCCGAACACTCGCTGTACCACCGATCCTCCTTGAGATGGATGTGAATTGCATAAAACGGCATCGCAAAGTTGTCAATTCAGGAAACTGCCTGAATCAATTAGCATATACTAGTACGCCTTGAATCTACAAACTCACTTCCTCCAAGTTCACTTCCCCCTCCAGTTCCTACACAACCTCTCGTGCACCGATCAGAATAAACTGATCGAGCAAACACACCCTTCCTACTCTGCTTCTCTTAACGGCCTAGCAAAGTCCAGCGCGAAGTAGATAATCGCAACTTCGGATTTATGATACGAGAGCAGGCGTTTCGGTCGTATTCTTCAGGAGCAGTCATTTCTACGATTAACAGACTCAAACTCGTGGAGTCCACTGCACAAAGGCACGTTCCTTAGAACGATGTACTTTCCGTGCGTTTACTCCGTAGTCTGTGTGGTACGAACGAAAATGATCACTGTCGGTTAGCGCGATCTTGTCGATTTAGTTCCTTTGGACATGTTTATGGTTTATGATTGACTTGGACATACCTCATAGGAGTACTGATCTTCGATCCACCGAGCTAACAGGCATGTATGATTTACATGGGTTGCTTGTTTCGGGGAACGTCAAGACGCTGAGTGAACAAAGCACGCATTTCCTGACAGTGATCTCGAAGATTAATAGTACTCCAAGCTTCAAGTCCGTGTATTCACAAAAAGAATCCAACGACGCACACCACTGATGATTTATCCGTACAATGCACAATGCGCGGCTTATTGCCGATATGCTGATCTATAACTTCATGCAGACTTGAATATCTCTCCATGCTTCCCCTGTGTGTAGAACTTGTCCATCCTCGTGATAATGGTATCCAGGCCGGTGATCCAATCGTTGAGCTGCTTGTCAAGCACCTCCTGCGAGCACGGCTCTCCATTCGGGTTAGCTGCAAGCTTCTCGTAGAAGCTCTTGCGAGGCGGGCAATATCCAATCGCAGTCTACATCAACGCACAACGTTAGAATCAAACCATGAATTGTGAGAGCAATGTTTGACGAACGTTGAACATCAAGCCTGCCGCTCTCATGATGGCCCCTTGTATGCTGAATATTCCAGAACCACGGTGAATAGGCCCAAGGGTGACATTATATCCCTTCGTGAAGGCAACTTTGAGATCCTCTGATGGGTTGCTCTGCGCTTGCTGAAGGGATTTGCCTGTGAACGCCAGGGAACGAAGCAGCCACATTAGGCCCTCTGTTGCGCTTCCTACTTTGTTGCTTTTCTCGTTGGTCACTAACACCTCCAACGTTCCGGACTGCGAGGGAGTCGCATCGTGCCGTTCACGAACTTTCTGGTAGAAGAGTTGGATGAGCAGTTTGATCGATGATCGCTTGCCTGGGAACACCCACTGTGATGTTACCCTGGATGTCATTGATGACGGGCGAGAATGCCCCGGAGCCAACGGAGCTCATAAGGCTAGTGAGTTCCTCTGTATGCTGTGAATCAGACGATGCAGCGAATGGCGTGGTGAATCTGATACACACTGAGCATGCGAACGACACCGTCACCAGCTTCGAGGAATGCGACAGTGTTGACGCCATCGTCGGTGATTGGCACATCATTAAACGACTAGGAAGGGGATCCATCAGGTGAACCATCGCCAACGTGAGCCTTGGGCTTACCTTGACTGTTTCAAGGAAGGGTGCCATGGTGGAGGATCGAAAATGAAATTGAGTTGCTAACCCTAACCCCACCTATTGTTCATCATTTTATGTGCATGTGATGTCAGAATAAATCGAATAAATTACTACACAGACTAGTTCTATACGAGAACGATGTGTCGTGCAACTTGTGCGCGAGTATGCACGCCAACCGAGTAAGTGGTGACATGGTGTCGATTAGGAAAATCTAATGAAAGTATTCGCCCTTGAACACAGACTTCCTGATAACGAACCAGCCTCCCGCTGGATAAGTGACTCATGCTTGTGATAACAAGTGATCGTCGACTAGTCAACTAGTTACGGTAAGTACTTGCCGCTAGTGACTCGTGAAACTCTTGCGAAAAAGTACTAGTAGGCTTGCGGTCGACCACCTGGACCAGTTACTACATACAGAGCCAGGAGGCTATGTGCACAGTACCGCAACCTTCCAATTGCCGCATGAAACTGACCTCGGGCGTCATCGGCATATTCAAGTTCCCTATCATGCGGATAAAATTGATTGACTACTAGTACGAACAGAAGTCAGACTGACAGATCACGCGACGTATTATTTGTTCCTGTGTTCATGTGATATAGCGCTCAATGTTCTCTCTGAAACTTCGACCGCAGCTAAACGCCTATGATAACGTTGCTGTGCTGGTTCTCCAGCGTTCAATTTTTATGTTTCATCACACGTGTCCAAAGATTTGCCCAAAAGCAGGTAGCCGCTAGCTAGCCATCCTCCCGGCGTGACCTTTTTGCCTCATCGACTCGGACAGGTATGTCATCAGATGATCTATCGATGCTGTGGTTGCACAGGAAATTTACTAAGTGCAAGCGCCCGCAGTTATGTCACATATTCTTCATCGAATATCGGGAACTTGTGTTATACTGGTCCGAGGGATGTGGTTATCATCTGGGTCTATTTGTTATCTGCCCTTTAGGGTGAACGCTTCTGTACTTATACCCCAGTTGTATTTGCCATTTGGACCCACACCCTCATCCAAGACGAATAAAGATGCCACTACACAACATTAATTTCAAAACTGAGGTCAAAGAGATTCCAAAGGCGCAACTCGAGAAAACCAATGATTCTCCTAATTACACTGGTGGCTTTGGTGATGTCTGGAAATGCATCTACTCCACCTCTAGTGATTCCCCTCTCACAGTGAGCCCGATTCCAAGCACGTATGCACGCACATTGATTTGGTTAAAACTTCTAGGTTGCAATCAAGGTAGTGAGGGTCCCTGACGCCAGTGAAACGGAACTATTGAAAAAGACTGCATGGGTAAGATATCACGTCACAGCACATTTATTTGCATATTTATGGTTGACAGGGTATCCGACGCGAGGCCCACGTCTGGGCCAACTTGAAAGACGACCACGTTCTCTCGCTTCACGGAATTACAACTGGTTTCGGAGTCTTACCAGCATTTGTTTCATCATGGATGACGAAAGGGTCTCTCGAGAACTACCTGAAAAAGGAACCCAAACCCGATCTTTCGACGTCGCTGGACATGGTAAGCGCTTGTGTTTAAAAAAGACCAGCTGAATCTCAAGCAAAGCAGTCACGTCAGATAGCATTCGGTCTCAAGTATTGTGCGTGGTTTCTATTTCCATGCATCATGCAGTTTTAAATAACCCCTTAGTGCATGAAAACGACGTTGTCCATGGCGATTTGACACCGGTAGATTTCTTATCTTTTGCAGAACTACGCTTGAGAGATGACGATATCATGAATTCAGACCAACGTACTCATCGATAGTGACGGCAAGCTTCGCCTCGCAGACTTCGGTCTCTCATTGATTCTCGCAGAATCGGGAAATCCTACATTTAACTCCTGCCACGCGGGTAACGTGCGTTGGATGGCTCCCGAAATGGTCGAGGAGCAGGCAAAGCCAACAATGCCCGCAGACGTATATTCTCACGGATGTATCATGCTTCAGGTAAGTATCTTCTTTCGTTCATTGAGATCGGTGCATGTCTGACACACCGAAGCTACTTTGCGGTCAAGAACCTTACTTCCCGCTGATGAATGCGTTTCATGTGATGACAGCGATAGTGAGAGGAAGAAAGCCCTTCGGCCAGCTCACCGGCGTTGACAAAGGCCATGAGCAGTATTGGCTGAAATGTCTGTCCATTGAATCCCAGGATCGACCTGAAGTCACGGGAATCGTAGCTTTCATAGAAACCGAGCTGCAGAAGCTTCGATGACGAGTAATTATAATGTCCGTATTAATTCACGACCTCACGATTTGCTCATACCTTCATTCACCTTTGTACTTGTAACCCTGCTTTAAAATTTGTGTTCGGAGCTTATCGAATATTGTCTTCCTAAACATGCGCGCCTGCCAAGTGTGACCTTCATATAAGGTGGTGGTAGAAGTTAGCCCTGTTCAGTCGTTGACTCTAATCGGAGTTTGAGGGCAAACTGACTCACATTCCAACTGACACATATAACCATCAACTAACGGCACAACGAGTTAACGTTGGAGCGGGCACGGACTGCAAGGGAAACCCAAGGCCAAACCTATAGCGGGAGGCTACAGCTCTATCTATCCAGGACCGACTACGACACGCGGCAGGACTACCGTCTACGAGCCAGGACTCCTACTCCTGCGCTAGGACCCCTGCAACTCCCGACCTGATCTGTCCTGCCAGGGCGCCTCGCTCCAACATTCATGGTTGAGTATGACTATGGGAAGACAGGTTAATGACCAATCTCGAGATAACGCACCACGTGTTGTTTGTGCTGCAAATGCAGTTAGGGACCACCGTGTTAGACCCTTTTGACAGTCAATGCTATCAACCGCGCCGGTGAATGAATACTAATAATCTGAACTGAGCCCCCCAGCTTGGGGGGGTGCAAAGCTCCTGCCATAACAGGCAGGAGAAAAGCCACCTCCCGAAAGCACCTTCCCTTCCAAGGCAACATAATTTCCTTATATAGCATGCACGCGAAAGCACAGAAAGCACAGGGAAAGCACTAGGAAAGTACTGAACCCCCCTGAAAGCACTGAGAAAGCACTGAGAAAGCACACCCCCAAGAAGAGCCCGATTCCCTGCACAGTGCTCAACAAAAGGCTCCATGTATATAAGGGAGGGGGAAAAGCGACCTCCTGAAAGCACTATCCCCTTAACAAGGCCACACAACTTCCTTATTACTTCCTTATAGCATGCATATAAAAGCACAGCACCGACAGGACCAAGAAAGCACCCACAAGAAGCACCGGATCAACCTGCAAAAAGCACTAGACATAAGGTAGACCTCAAACGAAAGCATCAAATGTCACGTGAGTGTGACTGACTTTGACAGGCTGAATACTCGAGGATAAGGTCAATGCCTAATTGCCGGAACAGGCTAAGAGGAAACTAGAAATAAGAACATAGCAAAATTGTAGAAACACACTAATTTCTACTCTGTGCCTTCAGTTCTTGGACATTTCTCAATGATTAATTATGCAAGCTAACATTCTACATCCATCAGCATTCTCAGATTTATTTAATGTGTCGCCGTTGAATAGATATTGCATTAGTCCCGTTTTGTCTTGTCTAATATTCTAAGCCGGGGTGGACGGGTCATGCTAGGATGGCGCGCACCCGCGCCACGGCGCCAAGTTACCTAGTTCAACCGCCCCCGACAGGTCACGTGACACCGCGTGGAAACAATGACTACCGCTATACATATTTGGTGTGTCAGACAAATGTAGGCACAAGCACCGAACTTATGACGAACTCGGCATACGTTGCTTGTGATACGCATGAACGGGAAAAATACGTGGGATCGTCTGTCGGGACTTTCACCGCAAGTGCGGAATCTGATAGAAGACACACCGCACTCAATTTGCAGCGTGTGGTTGATGGGATGTGGATGCATCAAATGTCACAGCCTGACTCACAGCCTTGATCAATGTGCGGTGAACACGATACGATCCATTGACTACAAACAGAAATGAGAAAGGCGAAGACCCAAGCATCGTTCTTACAACCATTGCACGAAACCTTCAAATCATGCCATGAAAAAATTGATGATCGTGTTTTTGATGCCAGCTGGGTTCTGAGTCAAGCTAGGTTGTAATATCACACGAGTGAGACAGTAAGGGCAGTGCCACTCTGATGTAACGCACGCTACGCTAAATGCATCGTATTGATGTATCCCGGTTTGTGAAGGATAAAGCGAACGAGGACAGTGATTGGAGCAGCAACCCCACAATCATCAATCGATAACTATCCATAATTTGTGCAGGAATGCCACCCTGATCACGGAATATCCTTTCAGGCCTTGGAGACGATAAAGATCGCAATTGGTGGCCAGCTGGTTATATAGAGTGATTTAGTAAGTTACTGAGTTAAAAATTGGTCGGGCTAGGACCATTGTACTTACCTGATGGCGTTGAAATTTACGTGTCACTGTATAATCTCGATGTGTCATGATCAGCAGCTGGGCCAATTCCACCCAGCCAAAAAGCCCTGAACGTAAAGAGTGACATCGTATCCTCCTCCTTCTGCTCGAATTTGAACCGAATGTAGTCGGACGCGTTCATACCAGGTTCGGATGCAAAACCTGTCTAGATGTGTCAAGTATGCTTGGTGAATGAGTTAATGAGATGGAGATTTAGAGGCATGAAAGGGACTCATCGTATTGATATCACGGTAGTTCTTGAATTCGGCTTACTCAGCTTCATTAATTGTATGTACCGGCAGCTCTGGAGCCAGGGCAGAAGCTGCATCACAGATAGTGCATATAAGCTTTGCACTGCAAAGTTTCAGTGCGTTGCGTTGGAGGAACTTCGATAGCAGTTTTTGACCAGTCTAATATCTTCTGAGCCACAGCCGCAGGCTTTATGGCACCGCCTGACCTCGGCGCATCGTAGATTGTGGATGGTGCTACTGATTTGAACTCGAAGGTAGCAAGGGAGAGCCAAGACATGCTTGCAGCTGCGATGCAAACTTTGATGTGGCTGGGGCCAGCGGGATAGGCAACCTCAGCAAGCTCGAGAACTCGTACCTGTTCGTCTGGATAACCATCCAACTTCAAGAGCATGGTTCTGATGGCGCTTCATCCCAGCGTCGTGTTCCATAAAGTGCCACTTCAGCTCGATTTCTGCGCCGTGAAGGATCTCTGCATGTAATGCAGTCCTGTTCAGAAGCTAATGAACACCAGAATGAATCCGGTCGCTCAAGTTGTCCAAGGCTCTAATACACTCACCAGCAGACCATTCGAGATAAGTAGTCGGGCCTTGCAGCCCCATCCATCGCGGGCATCATGTACTAAAGAGATTCTGCCGCCTCAATCGCTCGATCTGTGTGGAGAAACATATCGCATCATCTTCGATTCGCAGTTTAACGCAGGGAATCCAAGTCCTGGACGAAGGGCAGCCGCACCTGCTGAAATTTAAACTCCGTGGTTCGCACAACATCTCGGATCTCAGACGTTGTAAAGACTGGCTACAAGTCTATACCGCAACCACTTCCACAACGATATTGTAATCGATCTCATTGTTTATCGCCGCTGGGACACAATGAACTTGACGAACCAGCGTTCACGCAGCCGCTCATGCACGAAAAAAAAATCATTTAAGGAGTTCTGTCCCGAAGTTGTATGAAGATAAGCTCATCGTATGCCTGGTTTTGTTTTATGTTTTTCAATGGGAATGCTGACGGATGTATATTCTAGTCGGACGGTGTGATCTCGGTTGAAGCAGCGCGAGCTGTCCGAGACAGTTACAAAGCTTCGCTGAATACCGCGCTTACTGATGTAGCGTCGTATGTCCCCCTCCCGTGAGCTTTGACACTCATACTCCTCCCCTTCCAATACCTCCAGCGTTCATGAACCGCCACCGCAGTCGATAATTGAGGCTCTTCAGGCTGCCATCGACACACGCTTAACCACGCTTGCTATCAAAATTCACCCTTCGCTTCCATTCATAGGAAAGCTTTCTCCTACATGCTACCGAAGTTTGCGTGGTATCCGATGATTTGGCGAGCAACCGGTCTTCATCTGCGCAAAGAGGGTCTTCTGCTCTGCCGAAGGTTCTCCTTCCTTCTATGCTGGCTTCCTGCCCGGAGTAGTCAACGTCCTCACTGGTTATGGAAACACTACCGGTAATGCTATCTCTTCACATACGAGAGTAGAGAAAGTCGCCTTCACTGGCTCAACCCTTGTTGGTCGCAAGATCATGGAGGCTGCTGCGAGGAGCAACCTCAAGAGCGTCACCCTTGAGCTTGGTGGAAAGGGTCCAAACATCATTTTTGACGATGCAGATATCGAACAAGCTGTCAACTGGGCTGTATTCGGCATCTTGTAAGTATAGCGTGCTGTCATGCAAACCACACTTATATTTCACCAGCTGGAACCACGGTCAGATGTGTACCGCAGGTTCGCGTATCTTCGTGCAAGAAGGCATCTATGACGAATTTCTATGGAGAAAACTCGGTCGCTCAAGATCGGTGACCCATTTGCACCTGACACTTTCCAGGGTCCTCAGGTCTTAGAGATTCAATTCAACGTATGTCGTGAAATGCTTTCATAACCATTCATCTGTCTAATGCACGATCCAGCGTATCATGTCTTACATTGAGTCCGGAAAGGCGGAGGTTGAAATCGGTGGTGAACGTCATGGAAGCGAGGGCTACTTCATCAAACCCACCATCTTCACCAATGTCGATCCATCGATGAAGATCGTCCACGAGGAGATTTTCGGTCCCGTTTGTGTTCTCATCAAGTTCAAGGATGAGGAAGATGTGATCAAGCAGGCAAATGACACGCTTTACGGTCTTGCTGCTGCTGTTTTCACCCAGGACCTGAACTGTGCCCTCAACACCGCACACAGACTCAAAGCTGGAACTGCATGGATTAACTGTGTCAACTCATTCAACTCCAACGTACCATTTGGCGGTTTCAAACAGAGCGGTATCGGTCGTGAATGTGGTGACTACGCCCTAACTAAGTGAGTGTCGCGTCAATGATATATCAGCACAAATTCATGTGCTCCAAGTTACACTGCAGTGAAGGCTGTCCACGTTAACCTCTCGGCCACAAAATGTGAACGGGAGGAAATGAAATATAACTGGGTGCAGGTTTGACCCTGATGCACGTGTAGTATCTTGTACTCTTATTGTAAATTTGAAATTCTCATTGACGGAAGGGATCAGGAAAGGTTTAAGGGTCAAAACATAGCGCATTCAAATAACGAGAGCTTGTGCCTTGATAGCAAGAACTTCGAGGACTCCTTTGATTTCGCTATTCCCACTTTGAGTGACTGCTGTAAGTCCTGGTCACGAACCTAGTATTTTCTAATTGAAGCGTGAAGAACAGATACTCGATGAATCAAATGTAGCCTGTCATGATGCGCGCTCCCATATGACATGATTGGGCTTCGAATACATACCAGAAAATAATACGTCTGACACCACGATCGGCAACGAAGTAGCATCTCATTGACTCCATCACACAGATCGATGTCTATGAGCTAACCTTCGAGACCAGCCTTAGACAAACAGATTCAAGATTGTTCCATCTTCATACGACCACCCAATATCAATCATCAACAGCAACGATCGCTCGTTTCGACAGTCTCTCGAACTCAAGCTGAGTAGACGACGAACAAGACTAGTCATTTCAGATAAGTTCAAACATCTACGAAATTGAGACACGAATCGCGTCGCTGATGCCATATCTCACCACAGCACTAATAGATGCACCGAACGTGATCCATGAATGCAAGCGTACAGCATATCAAGCTTAGAACTGAGAGTCAGCTCATGTCTGACTCACGTAAACGGCAATGGCATGTGGTATGCTTGAAGTGTGCGATTAGCTCAAAGAATATCTAGCGAGCCGGTGAAAACATCCTAGAAAGTATGCTGAAAACAATTTTTTTATACCGCAGAGACAGAAAACTCAGCAATTGCGAACCCAACGTCAGGTGAGCGGGATGGGAGAGGTTGCGTCTGTAAGACACCGCGGCCCCTGTTAGCCATGAAGACGCAAAGTTAATTGGAATATCACCTACAGTGAGGGAAACTGAGCATTGACATCGCCCATTCAATCCTCCAAGCGGTGCCCGCCCTAGCCAAGCTCAGCGTTTCAGCAGTCTTGTCAAGTCATCGAAACGGCGGTCCAGCGCATCTCACGTAGATCTATCTTGGCCATGAACCGAGGAAGGAGAAGACTTTGGGAGGCTGCCGTCAGGTCAGCGAAAGCAGGGAGCACCGTATCGCAGAGGTAATCTACATTCAACGTATTAAACAGCGTAGTGTGTCAAAATTTAATTAAAGTTCACCTTCACTTCAAGGATCAGATCGCACAGGGCGATCACAAAACTTCCGCACTAAGGGACTTGCATTATATACAACAGTATGAAGTAGATCAAACGTAACCAAATCGTATAGTACAGTATGTAATGTATTACGCCTGTGTAGGCTCTACAACGCAAACTTGATCGAAATGAAGATTGACGCTGACGCTAGAGTCACGCATCAACTTCAAGTCTACATTACTGGCCTTAGCGTTACATTTAGACACAATTAAGATATTGCCCCGATACGACCCATCCAAAATAAAACATTCTTGTCCTTTCTTGCGGGGATCAGCGGGGGTGAGATCGTTTCCGGGAATAAAATAATGCTGCACTGCGCCTCCTGCAGTTTTAGCTGTACACCTAACGGCGACGGTGCCCTTGGGCGCTGGGCCATCTGGGCCGACAAAGGGATCGGGGCACTCGGTCTGCACCAGCCGTTTGTTTAGCCGACCTCCGTGAAAATTGGGAGCGACTTTAAACAGGGCGCGATAAGCAAAAAAGGTCGGGGAGAACTCCTGCAACCATGATGTCGGACCTGCAAGAAAATTAAACCAAGCAGTGCACTGTCTGATACCAAGACCTACCAGGTTTTTCTGAAAGTTTTCGAGCGGCGGCCTCGATAATATCCTCAACATCGTTGTTGTCGACAGCCCAAGGATCAGGTGTCGCGGACGCAACATCAGTTATTGGGTTGTTGTCGGATGTTGGGCGATCACCATCCTCGGCATCGGACCAGGAAGTCCAGGCGACACCGGACGAGGAGGTTGATGCACCTGGATCAGCCCTGGACGGTGCAAGTCTTTCGGGCGGTGGCGTGACGCTTTGGGGTTTGGGCGTTAGGAAAGAGCGTCTGCGCATCTCGCAGAATGACATCATGTCGTGATAGTCGAGAATTGCACCGTTAAGCCTCATGCCGTATCTAAAGGGTGTTAGTAATTCGATGACCTAGAGTAGAGAATGACTCACTGAGTGACGACGTCGCAGGATGGGAGCATGATACGATGTTGACCGTGCACCGCGACTGTGCATTTGCTGAGATTGACATCGTGCAAGGTAGCTCTGTAACCTTTCTTGTCTCCCCCAATATTGTAAACCTATTTATTTGGTGGGGCGGGTGCACCCCTGCAAGTGTCACCCCATCTAACTAGAGTCAATATATTAGGGGCAATTCTTGTTCAAAACCTTGAATACATTTTTGACCGGCGAATAACTACTCGTGACTCATCACGGTCTCTGCCTTTATACTACACAAAGGGATAGGTATGTATATTACTGGTATAAGTCAGGTTACCACGACTAGTCGTGTCAATACGCCCTCATTGAACATCAATCAAATGGCAACGACTCTGAGCCAGACTCATAGTACTCTTACAGATGCTGACTTATTGAAACTAGGCATACCCTCATGGCCATCAAGGTTGCAAATGTATTAAAAAGCTGTGATGCAGTAAGTCCTTCGACTTGAATCAGCGCGACTTCCTGGTCAGTGTGACTACTAGTACTAGTACTAGGTCAGTTACGACGATGTAGTGCCAGTTCGCTGCAGCACAGTCACAGTGCCAGCCTGACTGGGAGCACCTGGGCCTGTCATGGACATCTCTAATTTTTTTATTCATGATACTAGTGATTCTGCGCTTGGCCCTGACTACTCGATAAAGTGCAAACAGGTTGATGGCTTCAGGTGGGTTGAGTTAGTCCTTGTCCTACTGAACCAAACTGAATACGTCATTCCCGAAGGAAACACAGCTACAGTGTCTGGCAAGGAATCGTGCATCCTTCAGGAGTATTGTATTATTTCGACGTCTCAATGGTAAGTAAATATTCATCGGTAATTCTTGTCTGTCGCATATCTCACAATCAGACAGAAAACATATACAGGAAGCGATGTGAAAAAATACACGCCTAATCAATTGAACAATCTTCAGAACTGGATAAGGGCAGCACGCAGGAGATTGCAGGAAGAAACATGGTATATGGTCGTAAAGCCTGTTACAAGAGAAGACAGAGACTACTACGAATACTATTGTGTGGTCCCGGATGCCCGCATCATTGCTTGGTTTGAGGATTTTAACGCCGACCTTCTATTCCAGGAATGCGCCTTTGCAAGAGAGTGGAACCACAAGAGCAAGTTCTATTCCCCAATGAACGTGTTCTGATTATGCTGATAATTCCATGGTGGTGTCAGGGCTCGAGCTGGAGGCACAATTTTGGTGAGAACATGTTGATGAGGTAGAAAAGAGACTTCTAGGATACTGACACGAATTTTTTTCAGGAAGCACGTTGATTTCTTTCCAAGACATTATAGTATGCAATGCTCGGATGCTACTGAGCTACGCGCACACTTAGAATGGTATCTGGCAGGTAAGAAACACATCTTGTATCAAGCAATGACTGATATCAAAGAATAAATGATAGAGGGGTTGATTCTGGAACAATCGACTGCGGCATCATTGTTTTGGAGCACCGACCAAACAGAGAAAGTGATCGCTCGCCTTATTAGCTTTGGTACTTCGCAAGACATTATGCAACCTTTTCCTTTTTTTAAACAGAATTGCAGAGAACCTTCTCAACTCCGATGCATCCTTGTAGGAACAAGGTGTCGCATACTGTGGTGCGCTTGTGTTGATTGCGGCTCTCGTTCGAATACTAACTGACTCGCATAAACTAACAGGAAGGATATGGAATATTTTACGTAAGTGACAGGATCAGTGCTCCGAAAATTTAGTTTTAATTTGCTGGAAAGGCCATCACCAGTTTCTCAACTACTATGGTTTTCCAGAAGCTCGTCTGATGCGGACCCATTCAATCGAGGGAAGCAAACGAAACCGAAATATCAGTTTTTTATCTTTGCTATCGACAGCTGCAATGTTTGGTGTTCCAGTGATGGTATTGGAGCATGTTGAAAAACTTCACATTGATGGTATTGTCAATCTGCTTGATATCAAGAAATTCCTTGACCATTTCAACGACGATAACATAAAGCACAGCACTCTGGTATGTGATTTACCATCAACGTACACTTTTCTGATACTCGTGTCCTTGTTCTTTCCCACTGCCCAGGCGGGCATTATCATGGCAGTAGATGCTAGCATACTTGCTATTCCGAATATTGGTTCCCAAGTAACAACAAGAACACTATGCTCTCTTTCACTTATCCTTAGCGTCCACTGCATTTTTGCGGGCGTTGTGGCACAACACTTTGGGCAGAAGATGAAGTCTCTTCAATTTGCTGTGCGCTCAAGTTCAATAGATTATTCTTGCGGTTATTTTCTCACCCAAACATTTTAACAGTCTCATAACTTGCAATACCACTTTACAAAGGTTGCTATCATCTATAGCGCTCCTAGTTTGTTGTGAATGACAAGGTATTTTCTCACTCACTTGAATCTATCACAATAGTGATGAATATGTGTTATTCAATAGCGTAGCATTATCTACTCTGGGCCTTTTAGCTGGTATTTTCACAGTGCCAGATCGGTCTTTGATAACAACCATACCGTGCATGATCACCATAGTTTTCGTTGGAGGATTTTTGACTTGGTCTTCAGTTTCCATTTCTCGTCAACATCTAATGCACGGGGTTAGAACAATGTCTTGATTTCACAAGAAATCATCGCAGTCAATAGATTTCAGAAAAACTTCGTGTAGATTGTAATGAGATCCGTGCTATTCACTTAGTATCTGAGCACCTCAAAGCATCAATGAGCCCTTTCTCATCAATTATATTACTGGAACTCCTCATTCCTGAGCCAAATATCTAAATCTTGTTAAGTAGCGGCGTATAGCCAATTAATTTCATTGTTTTTGTCTCTCAAGATAAAGATCCGTCACAAATGGACTGTAACTAATAGCAATAAAACACTCCTTAAAGGTGAAAGTCATTTTATATATGAGATTCAGATACATATTAGGGGATATGCTAATCGGCGTCAGACACTAGTAATGATACAACTACTTTTATGGTGATTGCAAGCTTGGTATAGTATTATATAACGAAAAGTATCAGAAATATCGAGATTTTTGTGTAGTGGGTAGCACATCACATATGATTGCATATCATTTGCTTCTTTTCTCGTGTCTCTGTGAAAAGTAAGACCACTGTGAAATTTCCAGGTCGGACACAAATATACCTGCTTCCCACAGTTGGCAAGGTGTACGCAAGCACCTCTGAATTTGCATAAACACACTTGAGTTCTGGCATACAATACTGCAAGTCCCCGTCTTGCTATTGAAAAGGTGTTTTTAATATGGGGCTTTGCTGATAAAGTGTCAATGCCATCTGAAGATGTTGGAATAGAGATCCTGTGAACATAATTGCACTTGCACTTGGTCTTGTAAGAAATTAATACACATCAACAAGTTAATGAATACTTACTACAATGTGATTTGCATCTGGTATTAAATTACCAATACTTGATGAGAAAAGTGTCTGTTCCATCTGTTCAAAAATAGGGTATTATTGGCTGATTGTGCTGCTGGCCTGCTCTGGGTGCCAACCACTTTTATGGCATCAGCTGTCTTGTGAGCGGGCCCATCAATAGTTATTGTGTTTTCTGGCTAGTCACAAAGAGTGTGAAACCTACCCAAGCATTGTTATTGTCAATGTCAACAGGTGTGAGACTCTGCACCACAAGGCCAACACACCATTTGCTCTTGTGATGCACCAAGGTCAGCTAATATTCTGAGTCGAGGAATGTACCGCCTAGTGATGTTCAGGCTCAGCTTAGCTCCAAAGCTATGGTTTTGGCCTGAAAAAAATCCAGGCCAGACAAAAGCCACCAATGATGGCTGGCTTTGGCCCAGTCCTGGCTGGAGCTGCAGCTTGAATAGTGAAAATGTAGTCAGTGATCTGGAGGTCAAGGCTGCTTACAGATGTCGCATGCTCTAATCTAGCATATACAGTACCATGTCTGGAGTTGTTGAAACTGGCAGGAATTCACAAGGAGCTGCAAAGTCTGAGTGGTATAGTTCAAGTAAGGACCACAGAAACCTTGTGTATGAATGTGGAATGGAAATCAAGCAGATGCACACTAAAGCACACAGAATATCAGGGAATTGGCAGACTCTGGGACTGTCTGTCCAGGTATGCTCAGTTGGCATTCCCATCACGATCAACCTTCCAGTGCGTGCCCTCAAGGCTTCACAGTGTGCACCATTCAGCAGCGGTGGTACCATGTTCATCGTGCACCATTGCCACCGTCTGCTGAGTCTGCTTGACTTCTTGATTCGTTTGCAGCACATCCACTACTTCCTCTGACACTTTCAAACCTCATGTCCTTTGGAAACCCTTTAAATGTACATACTCTCGGAGATACCAAGACGTATGGCCCGGCATGTCTATCAACAGCTCTCAAATTTAAAGAGTGCTCATGGTACATTTCTCTGAGTCAAATATTCAACTTCTTTCATTTTCAAGGAGATACACTTGATATTTGGTGAATTCCTCTAGCACTCTGTTCCATTGTCCCTACCTTTTGACCACTCTGTGAGCTCAGAATATGTGCTTCAAATACTCTCTGCTTTTGGACCTGACTGAGTGGAGAATGACTTCAAGGATTGATCATTCTGTAAATGACCCTAGTTCAGGGTTCAGGAATGCAGGTGCACACACTCTGAATGCTAGGCTAGTTCTATCATCATGTATATGCAGTGAAAAGATCCATTTTTGCTTATATAAGTAGACTGCCTCACCCAATGATTGATTTTTTTAGGCTCCATTTGACTTGCCTGGGTTTAAATAAGACTTGATACAGAGGCTATTGACCAATCTGAATGTGATGGCAATGCTGATTTGGTCAGAAAAAATCAAATTTCAGAGTTATGGTACTCTCTCCTCCTGCCAACTCCACTAAGAGGCATGATTTATGTCAATATTGATGGACAGAAGGATGTCCCTAGTGTTTAGTGATTATAAAAATGTATTGGAGATGGTCTCAGAGTGTTCTAAGTCAATATGAAATGTGATGTGTGAGTTTGCCTGATACCCCCCCTCAAAGATTGATTTTTCTAGGCTTCATATAACTGGCTAGGACTCCAAGAGTATTTTTCCTGGGGGCTCTTGATGCTTCTGAACACGATGGTAAAGTCCATTTTGTCAGGAAAAATCAGGTTGTAGAGATACAGAAGGTTCTCCTCCCCACTGTTACCCTATTTATCTTGCTAAGCTGAATTATGACCCAAGACCAATACAAAAAATGATGTCCCTAGTGTTTTTAAGGCCTATGAATCAATTGGTGATGGTCCTGAACTCTCTGGAGTGCAAGGATCGTGAGATATGCTACATGTGCAAAAAAGTCAGTATTTCGACATTATCTTCACATCCCAACCACCATTTTCTTTGATTCTGGGCTCATATTGATTCTAACCATGTTTTGCAACTACCTTTAGGTTATGCTTGCGTTATGGTATATCAAAGGCCCTCATTTTGCGCAAATATGCACATGTCATATTTGCGTGCAAGACGTGTACCCTCATATTACGCAAATATACACTTGTCATATTTGCGTGGACAATATGTACCCCCTCATCTTGCGCAAATATGAACTTTGAATATTTGTGTGGAGAATATGTACCCCCTCATCTTGCGCAAATATGAACTTTGAATATTTGCGTGACAAAACATGTACCCCCTCATCTTGCACAAATATGAACTTTGAATATTTGCGTGGACAATATGTACCCCCTCATCTTCAATATAAACTTCTCATATTTGCGTGGAATTACCATATAGTGTCAATAAAGTCAGTGTGTCAGTCTGGAGTCTGGACACTCTGATCGCCATATGTAGTCTTTGTATACCAAAGTCAGTCAGGTCAGTCTGTACACTCTAAATGAATAGATATATGTATCTCACAGGCTAATCTCATAATTTGGTTAGTTAGTTGGTTAGTCAGTCACTCGTGACAATTTCTGAATGATGATACAATATTCATGGTGACATGGTCTACTACTTGTGATTACAAGATCATTATACATGTGAATCAGTTCTAGAGCAGCGTTACACATTGTATTTTGACAGCAGCAATGAATTTCCTTGTCTGGTTCTTGTAAAAACTCAATTCACCTTTCCATTTTCTACTCGTCCACAAATTCGCCTGTCCTTCATGTATGGCAGTGAGCCTGGACTGGAACATTTTTTTGGCAGAATGAGTCCAATAACCTACATCCAGACCAGATGTAGACCATAGTACTGGAGTGGGCCACCATGACAATATAGTGGTCTGGTCACCTCTACCTGTGAGTGAACAAGTAATAACAATCAAGCTAGATTTGTGAGGCGATCACATACCTGTACCGACATAATATAAGCCGCATAGTGTCTCAATCTCCTCCGTGGTCAAAGTATCAAAAATATACTGGGGGGATGTATGCCGAGATGTATCAGCAAAACACTGGACGTCTCTTGAAGGACCACTTGGTATATCACTAGCAAGCTCCTGTTTGCATAAACACCATAATATACCACCCTGGGGAGCAACAACTCTGACATGGGGAAGTCTAAGCAATTGGTTTCGACGTAGCTCATAGTTCATATACTCGTATTTGTCAGGTTCCCACCCAGAGGGGCGCCAGTTTGACTGGAAGACAGTTCTTGGATGAGAAACAGGAGAATACCAGACGTGGAGAAGGACTTTGAATTTGATTCCACGCTCGAATAGGAAAATAATGACATCTTCAAGAGATGGTCCCCATCGTTCCCTGATGCATTGAACTACAGAGACAGGGCTATTGATGACAAGATTCCACAAACAAGAATATTTTTCAATGCATGGAATCATCAGATAGCTGGTGCAAGTCGCATCTTTGACTGATTCAACTTTGAAATGCATGCCTGACGCAATGAGTTGCTGGATGTTATCAGGGTGTAGATCCCACATGATGGAAGGTGGACGGATGTCCTGGACAAGACAGGAAACAAAATATTGAATAGAGAATTCGTTTTTTCGTTGCAGACAGGGGAGGTTCATTTCCATGAGATATTTTCTGACGGTATAAGTGTCGATCATTTGAGGTTCTTTGATGGTCGTAAAGTCGTCTTGTGACTGAATTTCAGACTGCATGTGGCAAACAAGTCCGTAACGACTGAAAAGGACATTCTCAAGTGAATCGGAGAACAGAATGTCCTCGCTAACGTTTCCACTGTAAAGGATGTTTCTTCCAATGTCATTGTGGTCGGATGGGAGGATGGGAGGATTTTTGATAGCTGGGGCTGGAATGGGAGTTATAGCCTCCTGGATTTCGACTTCATTGAAGTCTATGGCAAGGTCATCGCGTGTCATGGGATTTTCATGGATGACGTCTGGATCAGTTTCAAAGAGGGAACATATGTCCCAATGATTGGACACTTCATCATACATGAAGTGCCCTCGCGATCTGCTCTCAAACTCCTTCTTTGCGTCTTCATAATCAATCTCTCCATGGAACCTCCCCTTCCTCGATCTATACCATGCAAAGAACCTGGTGCCGTCTCGTGCAGTTGGAAGAATGAACTTGACAGCATCATCAAGCCGTTTTCGGACGCGTTCCTTGATGCTCTCAGAAGCGCTAGAGAAGAACTCCTCCCGCTTTAGTTTGTGAGCGTCAGTGATTGCATTCCATCGGTATAGACTATCTGGATTGATGTCGGACGGGCCGGAAATGACTTCCTCCGAGATGGCCTTGTTAATGATAGTCCAGATCCTGAGCTTTTCATCTTCACGAGGTGTGGCCATTTTAAACTCTTCAGATTTAGAAGTTTTCGGATCATATGGACTGTGTTGTCTTCCTACCTTAAGCCAGACAGGGATTCCTATTCAGTTGAGATATGGAAATAGGGAGCCCCATTCAGATGTGCGAGGGTCTAGAACTACACCGATGCATCGTCCAAGTGTGTCGTGCTGTAACACATTGATGATGTCGGAAACATGGGCTTCGCTGAGCCCGGATTCGAGGAGCATGCGCAACGGTGAAGGCAGTCTTTGAGAATCAAAGGGTCGAACAGCTTCGTATCTCCCTAGAATGTGTCCATAAAACAAGTTCACCAAACCCACAAGACTGTGAAATGCCAATCTTGATCTTTTTGCACATCGTAAAGCGTGCCGGTGGATCTTGTGGTTGCGAGTGTAACCATAAAAGGATGGAAGAGGTAGCATGCGGAAGTGCAATGGGAGTAGGCAATTGCTACTAAAAACAGAGGCAGTGTGATGGAGGGTGTTCTCCAGCCATTGCCAGCTAGTCTTTTGCTCAGCGGAAAGAGCATATGTCATTCGATGAGTAACTATCTGAATGGTGGAAAGACGCTGGAGTAGAGGACCTGAGTATTTGAGCTCCATATCGTCTGGGGTAGCCGCAATCTGTAAATATTGAGACAGTTCAAACCTCAATTCAAACAATTCCTTGGGGTCAGGATCTTCATGCTTGAAATCTGGTTTGACTTCGGTGGCGGAAGGACACACTGTCTGCGTGGCTGAGAAGAGGAGTGAGTCGGTCTCCCTCAAATAGACAAAGTTGTGGTTGCTCGCAGGTGATCTGAACTCAATGTCAGTGTTTTACATATTTGATGATATTGGGTACCTATGCAGTTGACATCGTTGAAGGTGTGTGTAAGGGCAAGGGAAGCAATTTTGTGGCTTGGTTTTGAAGGGACGTCTGCGTCAAATTATGAAGCAAAGGTCTTGGAAGCTGAGACATGTCTAATGGGCACGTTCAATGGTCAATGGCAAGTAAATGCCCAATGCTAACATTTGATGAAAGGTTGAATATCTCAAACAGCTCCGAGAAAAAGGATCTAGCGCGAGTCGCGGATTCAAGAAGCCCTTGCTAGAAGTCAAGGAGGAACATATAAGAGCTATAAGATAGCAGCAAAGGCTTACCATGCCATTAATAGGTGAGATTAGGGATAATCTATGCTTCGATGAACTAGCATATTTATGAAATAAGACCCCACATCTGTTCGCATCAATATGTTTTCCATACTTCCATATTCCACTTTGAACATTTTATTTATTTTTCTCTCCCATTCTTATTGCGCAGACGAGTCATTCAGATACAACAACATGCATAAATTGGTACAACAACAACAACTAGGTTTATCAATGACAAACTTGCTGAACAGTAGTTACACAATCACAGCACTTAGGGCCATGGAAGCAACTGCCAGTCCAGTACCACTGGCAGACAAAGAAGAGCGACAAGCACATACTGTTCCATGGGAGCTCGACCAGAATCTGACTGACAATGAGAGCGGTCCAGTTGTACATCCTGCTTGGGCGCTCTCGGATTTCATAGATAGACCAAATGTCGATGAACATTGTCTAAAGCTGCTGCAAAAGGGGGACTCAAAGCACCGAAGCCAAAAAGATCGCCTATCAAAGAAGTCGAAAATATCTGTCATGTGATGCAAAATACCACATACAAAGAGTGTGTTCTGGATATCTTGGAGTGAGCCACTGTTCTTGTAGAACATGAAGCCAATGAGCAAGCCGCCAGTAATGCAAAGCGCGAACTTGGCCATGAGGTAGGTTGGGCTCCTTCAGTAGGCCTGGAAGTTATGCTGTGTGAGGGCCATGACAATGGTGACTCCAAACTCTGCCAGTCAATCAAGGTCGATGCTGTTGTACCTCGCCAATGACATCAAACATGTACTCAGCCCTAGATGAGTGGTCAACTTGAGAAGGGGAAAACACAGCCAGGAAGCACATACAGGTTTGCATTAGGGTTGCATCGTGGGGAACTGTTATGCTCGAAACACTCAAGCATAGTAGAAGACCCTTCGCCGATGTCACCAAAGTACAGTCTGGCCGCCTTTTTTGAGGAGCAAGAGTTGGTTAAAGACCTGGACCAACTCTCCAGAATGTTTATGGATGCTAGCTCGATAGCAAGCAAGTACACTTTAGCACTCACCACGTGAAGCTTACAAAGAAACTTCATGATGGCACAGACTGACTGAGAATCAAGACCAGAGGTAGGTGCGTCCAAGAACAAGAGAAGCTTGGGCTATATCAACACGCTATTAGCAGATCGCCCAGAACATATAATAACAACGACGGACCTTGGCAATGAGCTCAACACCGGTAGTGGTACATTTGAACGACGGCATGAGCATAACCCTCGAGACCACACATGACGAGACATTTGTCGACACTAAAAGAATATTATGAGTAACAGCGGTCAAGAATGTAATGTCACCTTACTATTCTGCTGATTCGACCATAGAAACACTCTGGGGCTGGCAAAGGTGGGCAGAAAATAGAAGGGCTTCTCAAATGGTAGATTGAGAAAGGTTGGTGTCCATGTGCTGGCAGTAGCCACTAGCAAATATGTTGTTTAGTACTTGGAATCAACCAAATTCTCAAACAGTGCACGCATGTTTGTACCTAGAAGTCCGCAGGGAGGGGTTGACCACTGACTAAACGATCACCAGTCACGACACTGATATCAACACACTGCGCCAAGACAATAAGGAGCGTAGTCTAGAAACATTTGTTAGGTGGTGCTAGCACTAGGACATAACAATACCTCACCTTTCCAGTGCCTGATTCACCCATGAGGGCCGTCAGTTTCCCAGGAGCAACAAAACCAAAATCATCGTCTAAGATACAACATTGTGTGTCTCCAGAGAGAACCATGTATTTCAAATGTCTCCAAGTGAAGATGTCCGTTGCTGAAGGCTTCTTCCTTACAAGAAAGAGCACCAGCTGTAGCACACACCTGGTTAGCCAATGATGGTTCAACAATGACAAAAAGGCAGGGAGAAAGAGAACACATACCTTCTTCAAGTTGCGGCTGTTGATACAGCCAAAGTGCCAACCACCTCCAGATCATAGCACTATAGTGCATCCGACGATGTTGATATTCTTGAACTTAAAAGCAGTGGTGTCGACCTGGGAGGTTGGTTGCCAACTTGCTGGAGTGCTGGAGTATGTAGTTACGTGTGGTTGCACTGAAGAAGGACATGTAAGTACATACTAGGGAGGAGGGAGGTGATGGGAGGAGGGCATTGAAAGTAGCAGTTTGGATGGAGGTAGATCTTGAGGAGCATGACACTGTATCTAATAATAATAAAAGGGAGAGATATTAATTATTTAAGAGGAAGCTCGAGAACGCAACTGCAGGGGTGGGTTAGTATAAACGAGATGAGTCTTGTTCAAGAGCTGGTCAGCTTTGTATGGTGGGGAGAGGTTTAACTTACAAAAGCACCCCATCCTCATGAATCTGTAGCTAGTTTCCCATGCATTCTGCTAGGCCAATGGCGAGTGTCATGATCTGTGCATGTAGATGGACATACCAACTGACAGATGCCGGACCACTGTACTTTAGAGATTTCCAGTTTCTTGAGGCAGGAGCAGAACTTGAACTGGGAGTTTGAGTATGTAGTTGATGGTAAAGGGGAAAGGACGTAGTGAACAATGAACATACATATTACAGGTGACATGTCAGGCACGGTATGGGGTCTGCATTTGGTAAGAAAGCTATCATCCATGAACACTATACAGAGGCTCAGCGCTCAACGAGGTCAGTGATGCTAGGGGATCTCACGGGAGGCGCCGCTGCAATCCGATTTGCTCTAGAGGAGAGTACTACCCCATACCGTGTTGCCTTTTGTGGTGGAAAGAGGCAGATGATACTCACCAATGTCAAGGTCTTGAGCCCATGTCTTGTTAATTTCACATGGCCAGATGGGCTTGAAATTGACAGACATGCACTTACCAAAATCAAGCATACCTTTGATCTGGGATTTGAGTTAGCTGCACACAAGCGTGATATCATGTGCTTGGGGCAGTCCCATCAGTTACAGGCCATCATTAACGCTGTGCAAAAAAGTACCATAGCCTGGGAGGATACCACATGAGCTGTCAGTGTACAAGAGCATCCACCACTTAGGCCTGAGGTGCAATATGCGCTTGAAAATCTGGTGAAGGTGAGTTATAGCAATATCGCAATATCTTAGTACTTACTGTGGCTAGTTCTTGGATGCCAATGCATATGTACAGTGTCAGTCTTCCAAGTCAAAGAAGCAGACCTTCCAAAACGAAGTTCCATCCTCTGAGTCATTGGCAGTTGCTTACTGGGGTTCTGATGACGTGGAGGAAGCCAATGAGAATAACACATTCATCACGAAGAACATGAAGTTTGTTATACCTTCATCGCAGGATGATGACCTACATCTTGTTGAGGAGACAAAGGCCCGTGAGTGCAAATGGAAGCTACTAGTGGATAGTGCCGAGGGCACTGGAAATGGCATGTTGGAGACAGGTGACTCCGCAAATAGGGTAAATGGTGAGTTAATTGGTCGTTATCTGCTGCACAAGTACTTAAGTCCCATACAAGGTAACTCCTATCAGACAAAGAATGATTATAAAGTCTGTGATAGCCATGTAATTGCAGCCAAGATAAACGGTTTAGAAGACGGTGAGAATAGAGAGAGAGGTCCTGATGAAGGAGAAGTGGAGGAATGTAATAACCGAGAAGATAAAGAGGAATGCATTCCTACTTCCCTGCGTAATCCTGCTAAACCAAACAGCCCAGCTTTCCTTGATCTTAAGGATGAAGAGGAAAAAAGATCTAATATCAATGGCCCACAGATTTTAGAAGATATCTGCTTGGATGCACCTCCTGGTGCTTTACCCACAGAACTGCCCATCTTGTCCCTTCATGATGCTGGTATCGATGATGATCTAGAGCCTCAAGCCACTACCTCAGGTATGTATCTTCCTCCCCTGCGTTTTAGTGCATGATGCTCATTTACAACAAGTTGTACAATATTCTGAGCTAGACCAAAGCATTTGTGTCAGCTCGGAGGCTAATCTCACTTCAAACATTTGCACAATGGTAGGCTCTGCTATGGTAAAGAAAACTCAAAAGTGTGGTCATAACTCCTTGACATCTTCTGACGAGTCCCACTATGAAAGACCTGGTAAGCCACAGCACCAATTCAAAATTGCATCACGCCCTGCTACCACGTGGGGGAGTACTAACCTGATAAGTAGGCTCAAGCCATCATGATAAGCACAGGAGAAAGTGTAGGCAGCTAGGCGATCTAGGACGATCTGGAAGCAGCACACTTAGGCATTTCCAGGATAATGATGACCTTACAAGCCAGCTTGGCTGATGTACAGTGAGGTACTATTCATCTTCTTGTCATTTTATGCACATATTTTTCTGTTTGCGACGGTAACCAAATGATCTCAAAATTACTTCTGAATAGCGATATTCCTTAACTTAATTCTTAAACTGTTCATCTCTTGCATAACACAAAGTTTAACAAGCTTTCAGACGATATACTAACATAACTATGATACTTGAAATTGAAAGGATGAGCCTAAGGGCGACCACCGACTGGAACCTGATGGATGTTCCATAAATGGTATGTTTTTTGAGTTCGAGGTAAATAACTGACAACAGTCTGACCTTGACTGACGGACTTGCCATCCACCTCCATGTGTATTTTGAAATCAATAAATAATTATATAAGCATATTTGTCACATGTGTGTATAAAATAATCACCATCCTAATAAAAGAGCTTGCTGCCAAACAAATGAAATAACTCTAACCTAAGGTTGTAAAGGAACCCATGAAAGGATGCAGCTGATCTATCTGTTCACATAACCACCACACATGAGCCTCGGTTCCAGCTGTACTCTCTTTATTATATGCAACTGCAGTGTGATGACGAGGTTTCTTGGACCATTGAGCACGGTGGATAAATGCGAGCTTACTGCGATTACGAATTGCGGCAATACCACATATTACAGTGACCTATCTCCGTATAATACGAGGGAACGGACATGCATAATATCCCGTATGATACGGGCCAGCGGACCATGGGCCCATGATAAAAATATCCTCGACTATGACGGATGGGCCGGGAGGCAAATTATTCCCGATGGAGACGGGTGGGCCCATGCAGGGAATATATAGAGTAGATGAGTGGGCCGATGTACATGAATATTAGGTAGACGGGTGGGCCGAGGTAGTTGGATATTATGCAGATGGGTGTATTAAGGTAGATGTGTATGAGATAGATGGGTAGGTACTTGTTATCACATTCACGGGTGGGCCCAGACACATATTAAATTAGACGGGTGGGCCGAGGGTATTATAAAATATTGTATTAGACGGGTGGGCCCAGACGCATATTAATTAGACGGGTGGGCCGAGGGTGTTGTATGGGATGTTGTATTAGACGGGTGGGCCGAGGGTGGTATAAAATATAGATGGGTGGGCCCATGTGTATCATAATTGTAGACATGATGGAGCTGAGGTAGTTGTACATCAACCAAATCAGAGGAGGTAATAAATCAAAGTTACCAAGTTCCCGGAGCAGCAGGTGATCTCCTGACATGGCCTTTGATGGTGCACAGGTTGTCTTGCAGAATGTGGAATCCGGGGTGCGAAGCTTGTGTTGCCCTACGAGAAGCCAAGTTCCGACCACCAGAATTTGAGTCAACTGTACCGAGCTCCGAGTTCCGAGTTCCGGGACCCGGAACTCAACACATAATTTAGTTAATACTTTCCGTGTTAAATGGCCAACCGAAGTTGAGATGTTTCTGAAGAGAGCAGCAGGTGCTCTCTTGACATGGCCTTTGATGGTGCGTAGGTTGTCTTGCAGAATGTGGAATCCGGGGTGCAAAGCTTGTGTTGCCCTACGAGAAGCCAAGTTCCGACCACCAAAATGTGAGTCAACCGTACTCAGAGGAGGTAATAAATCAAAGTTACCGAGTTCCCGGAGCAGCAGGTGATCTCCTGACATGGCCTTTGATGGTGCACAGGTTGTCTTGCAGAATTTGGAATCCGGGGTGCGAGGCTTGTGTTTCCCTACAAGAAGCCAAGTTCCGACCACCCAAATTTGGGTCAACCGTACCGACTTCCGAGTTCCGGGACCCGGGAGTCGACAAATGAATATCTGATGACCAGCACACTTCCAATCAGGTAGTATTTCATTGAGCAATGGATAATAATACATCTTTGACAGCCAAAATTATCTCAGGCTCCCTTATCTGATCCTCTCTATCTCCACCCCCTTTAACACCAAAGTCCGGACATTCAGCATTCAGTGTCTGATTTCCCAAGATTAACATCCAGCATGAACGGTTCTTCCCCTTCCACTCCTGATAGTATAAACATCTGGCGCACTTGGGCCCTGACTGTGACTTATGAAGCAGGGGAATATACCGAACAGAAATTCAAGGCAGAGAAGACTGGAGGAGGCCCAGTCATACCTTCCCCCAACCTAGACACTGATCTGGTGATGGCGTGCGATCGCTTGGCTGATGTACTCATAAAGGCATATAAAAATCCCAGTGGGTCTTCCTGCAGATTCGGAAAATTCATTTTATCATTCAAATTCCTGCATGACAGTTCAGATGCAGGTGGATATTGCAAGATATAGCAAATTGATCTCCCCAAAGGACACCGGGCATAATGAACAGAGAGAGGCTAGGTTGCTTGAGAGGTGTCCTCCTGGCCATGAAGGCAAAAGGTTGGTCGACGAACCTGCCACAATTCTCGATGCATCCGGTGCCATCATCGCATGGTACCTCCCAGACGCCCTGACCGACACCACCCAGGTGTGTAATATACATTGTTACTCAATGGATATTGAATATCAAATGGAACCTACAGAAGGAAATCAGGGAAGCCACCAATTTGCTCGCTCCAAGCCTCGAAAAAAGTGTAAGGGCTGATGGCAATTGGCGAACTAATCAAAAGTGGTTCAACCGGGGCTCGGAAGATGTTGGGGCAACTCCCGGATGCATCAATTTATCTCCGGCATGGTTTCAACAGGGACACGAGGTAGGATCTGATGAGATGGTGATTCCGGCAGTCATACTCACCAATCCCAAAGAATGTGTCCGATCCGGAGGTATCTGCATCATTGAAGGGACCTTCCTGCGAGAATATCCTCAAAGCCATTTCAAGGCCAGCAGCCATCGCGTCCGCGGCACTCAGAGTCATGCATCCTGAGCAGTACTGGGCAGGGTTGCGAACCTTGTCAAACCTAGGACATATAGCAGTAAGCAAGGATCTGCCACAGATGCCGGAGGCCCTGCAGTACTGGGCATCGGTGTTTAACACCCTCTCCATCATTTCCAATCGGGAAACCCCAAATCATCGAGACCATTTGTCCATTGCTGAATGCTTCGACATTCTCACCACCGTGGGGAACTATTCTAATGCTCGGATGACAATGCCAAGCCTTCAGCTGGAGTTCAAGTACAATTCCGGCTGTATGATTGCGTTTTCCGGAAGGATTGTGAGACATGGAGTTTATGATGTGGAAGGGGATCGGATTGCTTGGGCATGGTATATGAGGGATTCTGTTCACATTTACGCTGGTGTTCCATCATGTGGATGGGCTAGTGTGGATGGTCCATACAGTGTGTGAAAGATCAAACAAAGAGCATGCATTGTGACCTATATACATTCCAACAAATGAATACCATGTACCAATAGTTATCTGGACCTCAATACTCAATTTTGAGCATTTGCGAAGTGATATATGGGACTGAATAATTTGGATGCGAGCCTCAGTATTCGATAATTGGAACTTGGGACTTGACATATGGGAGTCCCGAGTGCCAGGGTACTGAGTCCCGAGACCCGGACCTCAGCACTTGATATTTGAGACTGGGGGAAGATGTATCAATATGCTCAAATTAACATTTGTTATTGCCGTACACATTTGACAAAACCCTGAACCCCGACATTGTGAACTCGGGACTCGACACTGTTCTGAATACCGAGTCCCGGAAGCCCAGGTCCCGAGTCCCGAATTTCGGAGTTCGGGGTTCGGCGACCCGGAGCTCGGCAACTGTGTTGGGTGTCAGGGTATCCGGAACATTGGAGATCGCATGTGTCAGCCAAACATGAACCATGAAATGCAAAATACTGACACATGCTATCTCCAATGCTCCGCATACCCTGACACCCAACACAGTTGCCGAGCTCCGGGTCGCCGAACCCCGAACTCCGAAATTCGGGACTCGGGACCTGGGCTTCCGGGACTCGGTATTCAGAACAGTGTCGAGTCCCGAGTTCACAATGTCGGGGTTCAGGGTTTTGTCAAATGTGTACGGCAATAACAAATGTTAATTTGAGCATATTGATACATCTTCCCCCAGTCTCAAATATCAAGTGCTGAGGTCCGGGTCTCGGGACTCAGTACCCTGGCACTCGGGACTCCCATATGTCAAGTCCCAAGTTCCAATTATCGAATACTGAGGCTCGCATCCAAATTATTCAGTCCCATATATCACTTCGCAAATGCTCAAAATTGAGTATTGAGGTCCAGATAACTATTGGTACATGGTATTCATTTGTTGGAATGTATATAGGTCACAATGCATGCTCTTTGTTTGATCTTTCACACACTGTATGGACCATCCACACTAGCCCATCCACATGATGGAACACCAGCGTAAATGTGAACAGAATCCCTCATATACCATGCCCAAGCAATCCGATCCCCTTCCACATCATAAACTCCATGTCTCACAATCCTTCCGGAAAACGCAATCATACAGCCGGAATTGTACTTGAACTCCAGCTGAAGGCTTGGCATTGTCATCCGAGCATTAGAATAGTTCCCCACGGTGGTGAGAATGTCGAAGCATTCAGCAATGGACAAATGGTCTCGATGATTTGGGGTTTCCCGATTGGAAATGATGGAGAGGGTGTTAAACACCGATGCCCAGTACTGCAGGGCCTCCGGCATCTGTGGCAGATCCTTGCTTACTGCTATATGTCCTAGGTTTGACAAGGTTCGCAACCCTGCCCAGTACTGCTCAGGATGCATGACTCTGAGTGCCGCGGACGCGATGGCTGCTGGCCTTGAAATGGCTTTGAGGATATTCTCGCAGGAAGGTCCCTTCAATGATGCAGATACCTCCGGATCGGACACATTCTTTGGGATTGGTGAGTATGACTGCCGGAATCACCATCTCATCAGATCCTACCTCGTGTCCCTGTTGAAACCATGCCGGAGATAAATTGATGCATCCGGGAGTTGCCCCAACATCTTCCGAGCCCCGGTTGAACCACTTTTGATTAGTTCGCCAATTGCCATCAGCCCTTACACTTTTTTCGAGGCTTGGAGCGAGCAAATTGGTGGCTTCCCTGATTTCCTTCTGTAGGTTCCATTTGATATTCAATATCCATTGAGTAACAATGTATATTACACACCTGGGTGGTGTCGGTCAGGGCGTCTGGGAGGTACCATGCGATGATGGCACCGGATGCATCGAGAATTGTGGCAGGTTCGTCGACCAACCTTTTGCCTTCATGGCCAGGAGGACACCTCTCAAGCAACCTAGCCTCTCTCTGTTCATTATGCCCGGTGTCCTTTGGGGAGATCAATTTGCTATATCTTGCAATATCCACCTGCATCTGAACTGTCATGCAGGAATTTGAATGATAAAATGAATTTTCCGAATCTGCAGGAAGACCCACTGGGATTTTTATATGCCTTTATGAGTACATCAGCCAAGCGATCGCACGCCATCACCAGATCAGTGTCTAGGTTGGGGGAAGGTATGACTGGGCCTCCTCCAGTCTTCTCTGCCTTGAATTTCTGTTCGGTATATTCCCCTGCTTCATAAGTCACAGTCAGGGCCCAAGTGCGCCAGATGTTTATACTATCAGGAGTGGAAGGGGAAGAACCGTTCATGCTGGATGTTAATCTTGGGAAATCAGACACTGAATGCTGAATGTCCGGACTTTGGTGTTAAAGGGGGTGGAGATAGAGAGGATCAGATAAGGGAGCCTGAGATAATTTTGGCTGTCAAAGATGTATTATTATCCATTGCTCAATGAAATACTACCTGATTGGAAGTGTGCTGGTCATCAGATATTCATTTGTCGACTCCCGGGTCCCGGAACTCGGAAGTCGGTACGGTTGACCCAAATTTGGGTGGTCGGAACTTGGCTTCTTGTAGGGAAACACAAGCCTCGCACCCCGGATTCCAAATTCTGCAAGACAACCTGTGCACCATCAAAGGCCATGTCAGGAGATCACCTGCTGCTCCGGGAACTCGGTAACTTTGATTTATTACCTCCTCTGAGTACGGTTGACTCACATTTTGGTGGTCGGAACTTGGCTTCTCGTAGGGCAACACAAGCTTTGCACCCCGGATTCCACATTCTGCAAGACAACCTACGCACCATCAAAGGCCATGTCAAGAGAGCACCTGCTGCTCTCTTCAGAAACATCTCAACTTCGGTTGGCCATTTAACACGGAAAGTATTAACTAAATTATGTGTTGAGTTCCGGGTCCCGGAACTCGGAACTCGGAGCTCGGTACAGTTGACTCAAATTCTGGTGGTCGGAACTTGGCTTCTCGTAGGGCAACACAAGCTTCGCACCCCGGATTCCACATTCTGCAAGACAACCTGTGCACCATCAAAGGCCATGTCAGGAGATCACCTGCTGCTCCGGGAACTTGGTAACTTTGATTTATTACCTCCTCTGATTTGGTTGATGTACAACTACCTCAGCTCCATCATGTCTACAATTATGATACACATGGGCCCACCCATCTATATTTTATACCACCCTCGGCCCACCCGTCTAATACAACATCCCATACAACACCCTCGGCCCACCCGTCTAATTAATATGCGTCTGGGCCCACCCGTCTAATACAATATTTTATAATACCCTCGGCCCACCCGTCTAATTTAATATGTGTCTGGGCCCACCCGTGAATGTGATAACAAGTACCTACCCATCTATCTCATACACATCTACCTTAATACACCCATCTGCATAATATCCAACTACCTCGGCCCACCCGTCTACCTAATATTCATGTACATCGGCCCACTCATCTACTCTATATATTCCCTGCATGGGCCCACCCGTCTCCATCGGGAATAATTTGCCTCCCGGCCCATCCGTCATAGTCGAGGATATTTTTATCATGGGCCCATGGTCCGCTGGCCCGTATCATACGGGATATTATGCATGTCCGTTCCCTCGTATTATACGGAGATAGGTCACTGTAATATGTGTCCGTTACACAGAAAGAGCTGGTGCTCCTCGATGCTTCCGTCTCGACAAACGATGCAGTACTAGATAGATATATAGTTAGTTGAATGAATCATAAAGAAAAACTTACTTCATTGTGCTGGAACTCAGGGCAAACTTCCATCTCCTCTGTCCCTGGCGCTGTACTGGCGCCACCACGAAGATTGACACACGGTGCTAAGCCACCATGTGACTTTTTGGCCATTCGCTTGGTCTTGGCCATGGGCATAGCAAAGTTGACGGCTTTGAGGCAGTGGTTTGGCGTTAGAGAGAGCAGCAAAGTGCTGAGGGCGTAGGAATAGGACATAGGAATATAGTGAAGGGAGACAGACTTACAACGCATTGTGAATTTGAGACAAATAATGCCAAAGACAAACACGTTGTAACAAGACAACAATGGCTGGTCACTACATGAAGTAAGCAACCAGCAATATAAAAATGTTGTGGTCTGCACGTCCTAGTCTGCTATTCTTGCAAGACAAGTTTGTTCGACCCAAGGGGTTCGCTGTAAGGTATTAGAATAATTAGCTATATGGAAAGGAAGATAGTCCGATGTCCTATGTAATAAGACATGTGGTACTGCGGACATGTAATAATGTGGTCTACAGTGTTTTAGCAATGTGAAAACTGATAACTGCGCACCTAGTGGGGATAGATATGACAGGACAGGACATTGGGAGGACAAGTGTGTGGGAAAACATGGGGTCCGATGCATGGGAAACATCGGATCCGTCGGACTTGCGTCGGACTTCATCGGGTTAGCGTCGGGTTAGCGGATAAATGTCGGATTGAGTGGATAAGTGTCGGATAACATTGGGAAGTGATTTGTGTGTGACATGCATAGGGAAATAGCTCAATACAAGCCTAGCACGAGCTCCAGTGCTACAGTGTGCCAAGTGTCAGTTTGTAATTGTTTGTATACTAAGTCATGCATTTGTGCAACATGTCAGTTTGCAAACAATTACAAACTGACACGTTGATATCAACTTCAACATTGATTCCCATGGTTCATTGTTTCTTGCGTTCAACATCGTCTTCTCTTCTACAATCTCATCACACAAAACATCTTTAGTCTACCTTTGGGTCATTGCAGGACTGCAGCCTGCAAGGATCCAAAGGAGCTAGAGACTCTGGAGCTGCCATTTATCCCAGTAAGTGGTCATCCTTGCCACATCCACATACTAATTCTATATATTTTCAGTTACCTTTTGTTGCAAAGGTAAGTGAGCATAGTTCCTGCACCCTAAATACTGACATTCTTTTGGATTAGGCTATGTTTTCTGCTACATTGGTGAGTGAATGGCGTCTCTGCACCCTTAGGCTGAAATCTTCATTTGTTAGCTTGTGCTTACTACTTTGTGTGCATGGTAAGTTGCACATCTTCATTGTGAGACTTACACATATTTTTTTCAGTCACCCTTTTGAATTGAACCTGGGGGACTTGCAGTGCATGGCGCCTGGCGCTTCCTGCCTAGTAATAGTAAGTGTCTCCCTTCATTATGTTCCTCACCAATCAGCTAGTCACAGATATCCAAGGTAAGTGTTTCACCTTCTGTCAATTTCTGTCTGACGTGTTTTTGCAGTAGTAACGCTCAACAGTCACCGCCATTTCAAAGTTAAGTGTCTATTCTTGTTAGAAAGTCTGTCTCATGTGTTCACTACAGGGTTTTTTTAACATCTATGTATTTTTTTCTACCTACTGTTCTATTGGAGGGTAAGACTTGTGTGAGGTGGGCCCCCTCACTCAAGTCTTGCTTCTCCCCTTTATTTGTTATCCTTGTAGTACGCAAAACATTTTTGTAGTACAAAACACACAATGTCGCACTAGCACTTATATTTAAAATACCGGCAGATGCTGGTTCACAAATTTTTGCGTCAAAAAAAAGTCACATGATTATGAGAATATATTTTGTGTGATATGCCTGGGTGCCAACTTGGCTGCTATCTGTCATAGATCCAGATCACTCAACAGTCATGCGCGGCCTGTTTGCTTCGAAGTGACGGTCGACACGATATGGATGAATTTCCATACATCCCCGAAAAAATCGTGTGCTATGTGACTGGACGACTCCCATTAGAAGTCGGCGTGACTTGTTGGTCGTCGGGATATTGCGGTAGTTCTATTCGGATGGTCTCCACTGCGGTGACTTCCTCCAGACCTTCTTAACCAAGACCTACATTGCGACAAGAAAGGATCATTTAGGTTGGTAAACTCATACTTCATGATGTTAACAAAGGCAGCCCTGTTCTGGCAGATATGGCAGCGATACGACAGGATCCCGCTTTTCATCAATACTGATTAATATTGCCATTCCGAATCGGCTTCCAAACATCGCCATGCTAGTCCATATGTTCTCTTCCATGAAATCCGCGATAAAGAGCTAATTACCGCCTGCCTTTATTCAATGACGTGACATACCATCAGCGATTCACACCGGCACCTTACCTGTTGGTTTACTGTATGGTCATTATCTCAACGCCACCCGCCATAAAATTTACTTCTCCCTGGGACTTCAATTGACTTCGCTGAGCGCATCACATCGTGATGCACAGCCAACTCTGCTTTGTGACACGTACTTCGAATAAAACGTTATTATCCTCGCCTGATACTTCCCTGGTCATGCGTGCCATTTATCCTGTGTCTTGGTTCCATTTTCACTGCCGCAGGGGTTATGCTGTCATGGGCAAAAATAATGGAAATAGAATTTCACACCTTACGAAGGTGTACTAATGCCGCAATCCCCCCTACGGATTATTCTAACGTGAATAAACTCACCACATCTGCATTTAAATATGTTCCGGTGTTATTCTGTGAAAGGAGGAAGTAGTACGGGGGCAACAACAACAGGAGTATCAACCATCAATATTGTTGCATCAATCGTTGATCGATCATCTTTATGAGATACGGACGGGAAGCATCATACATCCAAAATAATATACGTCATCTCGAGTGCTAGGGAAGACTGAAAAATTGCTTGATTCGTCGGGAACTTGAAAAAGCTCTGGTCCGATCACCACTCCAATGGAAGAATAAAAGTAAGACTCGCTAGAAAACACCAATGGTAGAGCTGCCATATGTCCCGAAGTCTCAGCCATGTAGTACACGTACTCGTCCGGCATCGTGAATACGTAAAGGCATTCGACGGAACGAGGAATTAGTGTCGCCTAATAGGATCATTGAAGTGATCCATACCCCGGAAAGACTTCCGTGGATAACGCCATGGTTATACACCGTCACAAAAGCTTGGATTGGCGCAAGAAATAAAGGAAAAGTCAATGCGTACGATAAAGAACTACGGAAATGACTTTCAAGAGCTGCATGCTTCAGATACCCGTGCGTGCATATGGCGTTATCCACGGAAGGTATGGATGATATGGATGATCGATCACGCGGACAGGCAAATGCACCGGTACACGCCTTTTACATGTACATGTAGCATAGGGTCCTCGGTAGTCAATTGGGCTTTTCTAGTCACAACCTAGATCGCATGATGTAACCATGATGACGGTTCCTGCTGATTGTACATACTTAATTCCAATTGGTAAGACACAACGACAATACCGTGCGGTGTATCATCGTTAATCACATGCGAAGACCGTAAGCTACACGTGGGTTAACACATAGCATCTCTATAGCGATACATCAAATCTTGGACATGAGCATGAGCGCTAGCAATGAGAAGTCGTTGTGATAACTCAACCCAACATTGATCGATAAAGTTCCAGTGACAATCTTCAATGGCAGACGCTTAGGCCCTGACACCCCTAAGGATGGCCACAACCACACGGTGATCACTGCTAATGTTACAGTATGGCTGCCGGCCCGATAAAACCTGACACGAGAGCGCTGCGGCAATAGAGATGCATTCAAATGAACTTTTTTTTTTGCTTCTGGGGTCATAGTAGACCCAAATGAACTTTAAATATTAGTTTTGGTGAATGCGGCACTGATCGAGATCTCGGAACCTCGAAAAGCTCGGGACCAGCCAATCGTACGTTACTCCCGAATCCCGATGGAAGAAGGTCCTGGTTAGGTCGGAGCATGTAGTCAAGAGCCCGTGGTTCACTACAAGCGCTCTTTCGTCAAGGAGTACGTTGCAGGAACGAATATGTGAGAAGCGTAACATATATCCACACCGCACAGTTGCTTACACCTGTGAGATCTGCATGAGCTACTTTGTTGCAGTGGACCGTCTATGCGCCATTTTATCTTAGTGCAATGCAAAAATGATATGACACGACTTACGATATTGGAGACCAGCAGCTACACCAGCAAGGTGTTACGACGCCCGTGAGTTGTGGTGCAGCTATACCATTGGGGAAGACTTACCAGACTGAATTTGTGGGCCTGTCATGGTTTTAATCAAGACATGTGCTCAAGGATCCATTGGGCATTCGTCGATATACGATGGCTGGTACTGGACCGAACCCGCAGGCAATCCCGCACAAGGGAAGAATGACATTATGGCGCATTGATCTCCACTTGCGGAAGTCGACTATCAACATTCAACCTTTGCAAATATTTTCGTATCATTATAGTGGGTGTTCTACATCATATAGGCTCACTTTGCTGATGATATCCTTAAATTGGTCATCCTCGGTTTCGATCCTCGCACATTTAACCGCTACCTTGAGACTTATCATCAGATGTCAATTTGATACGAAACTGATACCAACCTCCGTAGTTTTATCTTTTTCTAAGAGTCTGCACTTCCATGCGTCAGCGAAACTGTCCTGGGCAATAACATAAGTCAATTCCTTGACAACCTTCATGGTAAGGTCGACCAGGCGTCTAAATTGGTTGAAAAAAATTGCCATGTCAGTCAGCTTCATTCAAGTTCGAACTCTGCAAACAAAACTGCATTACTCACTCATTATCATTGACGTCTACATCCAGGTACGTCGAGCTCGACGTTTCTGGTTCCGGTTGGACTTTCCACCATTTATGAGGCAACACACTAAAGATCCAGGTGGGAAGGGGAAGTACTTATCGCACTGGCAACGTAATGAGGTCGGATCTTGTAGGCCCAGGGCAGTTTGGACAACCAGAAGAACGAGAATATTCGCAAGATCCCTGCCTCTGTGTTGACGTTCAAGAGCTGGCTGTAGACTAGCACCAAGGCGCTGGCATTCATGGGAATTTACCACGACCACAGGAATATGCCGTTGTACTACCAACATAAGGTTAGTCGGAAATTCTGAATGACGTTGATCAAATTTTTTAGGGTTTCCTTCTCTTTGGTCGTCCAACCTAATAGTACAACCGTGTCATCTGCAGCTCTGCGATTGATCGGCATTTCATGCGAAGACGGCTTTGATGGCGTTGACGGATCAGCTAGATTCTCCTTCTGTCCTTCTTGTTCAGCTCTTGCTTCAGTCAGTGGTCCCATTACAGCCCGTCTAGCAGGTGAGCACCCACCCTGCTCGCGCAACCGTCGAAGTGCGCGTCCACCCGCTCCCATCAGTGCCAGGAACCGCAGATCTCGATATGAGAGATCGTAGAACGCTCGTGCCTTCTCGCACAACACCCTCGCACTTTCATTCAGGTCATCGTTTAAATCTTAACGAATCCGACCCCCAGTTATTCCCTTCTCGGAGCCGTCCAGCATTGCTGGATAACGCTCCATTGAGTATCATTAATGCAGGGTGCAATGGCTTGATGCCTGTAGATATCGCAAAGAAGATCTGTGTGTCACGACGGAAGTAATGACAAGGAGCTTTATCAGAAAGGACCCAGGACAATGCTGAGGACACAATCACTGAGACATAAAATACGCACTTGAAGTATGATACCTCCGAAGGAGCATACATCACCTTGAGTACTAGGGAAGCCCACAAAATTACTTGATTCGTCGGAAATTTGGAAAAGCTCTCGTCCGATCCATCTCACCGTCCCTCTGATGGAAGAAGAGAAAGAAAACTCCGATAGTGGAACTTCCATCCCGAAGTCAGCCACACATGCCAGTGCTCGTCCGAGACCGTTGATAAAGATATCCGACTGAACCGAGATGGGATCGAGTGAGTGATCCATACCCGGAAAGATAATGCTATGGTTATGTAGGGTTATAAAAGCTTGAATTGGCGCGAGAAAAGTCGATGTGTACGATGAAGAACTGCGGAAATGACTTCCAGAAGCTGTCTAGTTCCGTGAAACGGGGTCACCAATTGTAACAAGTGTAATGACCGCTTACCGGTGCTCATCATCGCATTTCGGGTCGACGCAGTGATTTGATGGTGGTTTTGCTCCAAGTAACGTGTCAGATTGCCAATAAATTATGCTGTCTTCTACATACGTTTAGCAACCCTCGCTCGAACTCCTACGCAAGTACACACACCTCGTATCAGCGCCGCAACTCGTGCCTTCGCACATGTACCACCCTAAAACAACTGCCAGACAAGCTCTCACAGCTTCGTATCCTGCCTCTGAGACCTGTAAGCCAATGAGTAAATGTTATATACAATAATCGACATAGCACAATTAATACTGAACCACATGTACTGTCGATATTAGGTCAGCCCACAACGACAATAAACAAGAAAAAAAATAGTATACATCGGTGGATGCTTGATTTGGTCACGGTACGTGTATTGCGTTCGATGGCGCTAATAGAGACTGCAGCTGTAAACGCAATTGTAAGGATGTCGCACACACAGCGCGGATCTCATGAGTGGGAGAAAACAGGGTCCCAGGAGATAGAAGGTCTAACACTACAAACTGTATCACAATCCTTACCTGATCCAGTACTACTGCCGAGGGCAAATTGCCAGATCTATCGCTTGTATGGTGTTCAGAATCTTGATGAGGAATAGCTTGGCATGGGTTCGTTGAGAGAGGTACGACACGTTTTATTGGTAACACGTACACTTAGAACTAAGTTCGGTGTGAAGTTTGAACGTACTTAGCGATTATTTTATGATGGAGCGACATACCTTCAAGATCGCTCTTCATGACTTGCTTAATGCGAGGGAGAGGGAGCGGAGTATTTCTGTAACCTGGTGTCTCTTTCTCTGCTGTATCCATTTGCCGCTGCCAAAATGAACAGAGGAAATCATTGAGAGGCTCCCCGGCGGACTACACGTATGGGGCGACATTAAAGAGTAGGTGGGAAAATCTATCGATTGGTAACCTTAACCCTAGACTAAGGGCATACTCAAGTGTAATTTACAAAACAATGACGCCACTGCCATCATTTACTAAAACAGCTCTGTAACCCACACTTCTCTTCCATTGAAAGACCTATAATATGATCACCAGCTGACTTTACACGTGCACAGGACTCCGGGCAGAAATACGGGAACGAAGGCTTGATCCCACGGAAGCAAGCGTCTATCCCTGTTGCTCCAAATACAAACCGCGCGCTCGGCATGTGCAGTTCATATTGAGCATATGATCAGAAATCACGAGAGACACAGGGGGAGGTCAAAAAGAAGCTAGATTGAGAATTGCAACGTTGAGATAAACCAGAGCCATAACAACAAAGACGAGAGAAAAGAACGATGAGCACAATGAAACAGACACCGAGCAGGAGTTGTGATGACCAAGCTGAAGTCCAAAAGAGATTGTGGATACCGGGCCAGTGTGGAGCCGCTCTTAGAGAAATTTTCTGTACCCTAGAAGAGGGTACAGGAATATACATAAACAAAATCGATCAGCTCTCTGTTTGTTCAACTAGCGCAGTGACATGATCTGATCCTAGGAGGTTCAGGACATCGACGGCAGAGGGCCGATGTCCTATATCACCCCAGCATTTTTCAATGAAATCCCAGAAAGAATCTGCGTCGTGCGGACTCGATAGTCTTGTAGGCTTCTTACCCTTCAGTATCAGGACAATGACTTGATGATCACTTCGCACATCTGCATAGGGTGGCCTACCTGTCATAACCTATGAAATCTTTAGTCGCAAACTAACGCAACCACTAGGGAACACCTCCAGCCTGAAGCATGATGCATCCGAAGGAATGAATATCGCTGGCTAGTTGAGGATTCAATGACTCTTTGCTCTCGGGCACCTCGAAGAGCTCTGGCGCAGCCCACCGCACGTTGCTTCTGATGTATGAAGAGTCCCTGAGAGCTCAGAACACATTGTGAGAATTCCATGATCTGCTACTTGCGCATTGCAGTCCGAATCTATCAGGATGTTGTTCTGGCGTTTCAGATCAGAGCTAGAAGGCGATTATCAGACAACTAGTACATACAGAGGTAAGGTCACCATGGGCAACGCCCTTCGAGTGGACTGCAATGCCGTTGCACAAACTATTGAAAATTCCACATACGGTACATCAGTGAACTGATGGACAAATTAGAAAGACATATATAACAATATATAGCACATATTCACAAGCATCAACATAATTCTGCTATCGATCGTTACATATGAATATTTGACTTTGTAGAGGAAACAACAGTTCCTGATGTTCATATCCCAGTGCGCTGTAGAGACTCGTGCCTCGCATTGTGTGATATGGCACTTTCCACTAGGGAGTACACAGCACGACTTGCAGCATCACTCTGTGTGCTATCCACAGCTATTCCCTTACGAGGTGCAGCTTTCCCACACAATGCGCAGCATGCGCGCACGACTTCCCGCGCTTTCCCGCGCTTGAGCGCCCTATAGCGCCAGCCATCCAGAAGCATCCATCCACTGTCCACCAAGCTCTCTAGTGCGTATATTCCCATTTCTCTTATTTACATATCGTTCCACCTCTATTTTTACCATGGACCCTTACTTACATATATCTTTACATACCTACTCGGTAGCGCTTCGGCTCCGCATGACAGCGCTTAGGCGCCATATAAGCGCCAGCAGTACATATTATTAGATACTTTACCTCCCACTTACCACCCACATACTACCTAGGAGAACATAGTAGAAATCTATTCTTTGACACCTCGCGCTCGTATCTCTTGTCTAGTATCTAATCACCCCTTAAGCAAACTCACTCTTACTCTCTCTCATTACCGCTCACGCGCGCGTACCTTCGCTTTCCCGTGCCTTGTGCGCACCTGCGCACTTTCTCGCGCTTTGCATCAGCCGACCAGTAGCGCCTTCGGCGCGCACTACTAGATCCTTGCTGCACTCGCTTCCCCTTTAGGGTCGAACGCACTTGTCGTCTCAAGTATAGCAGACTAGGCAACGCGCGACCTCACAACATTTACAGATACAGTCTGGAGCATCATTTGTTCCTCACAGTATTGTTGTTTCTACAGTGAGATTGCCGAGATCATAATGCATTTCTTACTCTCAGACTGACGAAGCCAAGGGGGGCGGATCCACGATTTAGGGCTGAAGTTGTGTTGTCGGTGATTTGACTAAAAACTGCAGATATCGCCATTAATATCCTATGTTTCTTGCATTTAGCCTGGTGGACCCAGGCAGGTAGATTCACAACTCCAGGCTTAACTTGTGCTATCCGCTATAAGCTGCAGACTCTACTGTAGTCGCTCTGTTTTTCCTATCTTCAGCCGTTTAAAATCATGCAGGTTGATTGTCCCATGTGACGTGTCATGGTATTTACTTTTATATAAAAATTCAAAATTCAAAATACTTTGAGTCTGAAGCTGGCACTCATGAGAGGGTGTGTCGCACTGTTTAACCAGAAATTTGCTTGAATTGTTATCACATTAGAAGTAAACTAATCAGAAATAACGTGGTGGGTAGCAGACTATCAATAGGTGCCTAAGGTGAATCAAAAGCGGCATCGTCGCGTTGCGCCCTCTGTCTTGCTAGAGCATTCACTGACATGCTAGCCCTTGCCATATTGCTAAGCTCATTGCGGTGATTCCTTCCAAAAACTTTCCTAAAAAAATGAGTCCAGCTGGGGCTGATCGGAAATGTAAGAGTGACACACCTAGTCCACCATTCAAGGAGCCTGTCAACCCTGCGGTGGGCTTCGCGACCGGGAGGCCGTTCAAAGAAGTCCACGATGGTTTGCCAGAATTGTACATAATCGAAGTCTCCATCAACAGACCTCCAAGACGTAATAGAAGAAATTGCGAATCGTACCTGCCATAATTATGGTTATCATTCATCATTCAAACTAAATATATGACACATATAACTTACTTGACATGCAATGTATGCAATTGAACGAGGTGTCACTTTCTTCATCTTGATGATTTCCGCTACATGTTTCTTGACCTTGACTCCAGAGGAAGACTTCTTAGCACGTGTATTGTTTCGGATGACATCAGTACCATCGCCGTCACCTTCGACATCCCTCGCTGATGAGGGCGATGTGAATACAGCTTTGTACCCCTAAGAAGAATCAGCGAGCTCGTTGTCTGGCTAGAGTCGAGTGGGACGAACCTGAAGAAGAATTTTGCCCTTAAACAGGCCTTCCTCTAGATCATGCGGGTTGGCGGCATATTTATCATACAGGAAAGTCGGAAAAGAGAGATCTGTGACAACATAACCCTCCGAACGATCTCGAATTCCCGCCCTTACCCTGCCAGATAGTGAGTGCTTCTCTTGCTGAGTCCGAGTGCGCTACTTACGCTGGGTCATTCCAATCTAATTCGGCTGGGCAGAGCAACATGCCGCACACATTGTTAGTAAATCCACGAGAATGTTTATCCTCGGGGTCGACCGGTGGATCAGGCTTGAAGTCACGATTGACCCATTCGGAAACAAGAGTCTTGAGCTTGGCGGTGTCGTCGCCTCGAGCACCGTCAGCGCCTTGCCGAAGCTAATAAAGACCCAGTGAGACAAACCAATTGTAGACGTCAGTAAAGCGTACCATTTTTATCATGTGCAAGTAGTCATCGTACTCCAACTCACAGCCCTTCTTATGAAACCACGGTAAGGTTTGCGTCAGGGCGACATACCCTACTTGCAATTGATCCTGTCTAGATACACCAATTAATATCATTCACGACCCAAAAGTAAAAAACATACTCTAGAGTGGCGTCCTGGTCCTGCTGCTCGTCGTCACATCTTCTGTCGTTTTCGGTGACGAGGTCCTCAACATTGTCGAACAGAGCGACAACCCATCTGAGTGCTCGTCCTTGAGCCATGTAGTAATTTATTTGCCTGATAGACGGTAAGAAATGATGACTCAATGTAAGTAGTGGGGGACATACTTTTCTTTTGCTGCCCGCCCCGCCTCGAGAGTCTCGAGCTGCTCCTCAAGTTGAGCAATTCTCCTTCTCTGTCGAGCCTGGACATGATTTGCCGCTTCGGATTGCCGAAGGTTGCCCCCATCTTGATCCTCAGCGTGCGATGGGCTGCCTCCATCCTGCCGCCAGTCCTCGTCATGTGGCGCGCTAGCCTCGGCGAGCGACATAGAGCTAGGGAGACGAGATGAAGTAGGGTAGAGGAAGAGAAGGTGTGAGAGTAGGGAAATAATTAGCCAGGTCGCATGAGTCTTATATGATGCTGGGCGGGACTAACACTAGTTTCCTAAAAAGCGAAATGTCTCTGCCGGGATTACCGTAAGAGACTAAGCGATTGGAACAAATACCTGTCTGGGAAAACATTAAGGTTAGTACTAGGAATAGTCGGTCCTTCTGAAAACAGAAAATAGGACTGTTATAGTCTGGGAGACCGACATATCGTCCCTGTGATTTTGCTAAGTCTCCTACGACTTCGAGTTGTTCGGAGAGACTCACTGACTGGCCGATTTCTCAGCACCAGACGTCGTTAGAATGATCTACGAATGGCTTTTATTCATCTCTAGGAAAAACAGCTCATTAATAGAGGAGGTAACTTACATTGACATGTTCAGTTATCGGCTGAGCAGTACCGTGCGGCCCCCGATCATCGAAGTAGGCAGAAGATGAGAAGGTAGTCGCCTGTGAGGCACGAACCATGAATGTCTGGTAATCTGGCTGCACCACGCTTAGTATTAGAAATGTTATCTGCGAAAAGATAAGATGCGGTAGCTCGTGTGCTTTGTGCGCTTGCTGCGTACGAAGATCCTTCGGAGAGCTCCGATCGATGGAGCAATTGAGTTATTGAAGTTCTGGTCCACCATGAGAGCGTGCAGTGTTGACAGCAGTCAGGTTTCCACCACAATTGTTGGTCTTGCAGTAACAGCAAACGTAAGGCATGGTGAGGATGATGTTTAAAGACGCGTTTGACGCGTCGGGCCAAGGGCTAAGGTCACGTGGCAACAAGAGTACCGTGTTCAATTGATACTAGTGTTCTTACCATCATGTTGCTCGCGTATCGCTGGGTGTTGGCAACCCTTCCATTTCTCGTTTTTGTCGTTGCTTCCTCTGGCGACAGATTATCAAACTTTCAGAACTGCGTCTCTGCATGTTATGGAGACTATTGCCATCCTCAGACGACGCTTTCACTTGGCCTCAGACTGACATGTTGGACGTGTACAGATGACTGCAAGTACCAGTACATGCATATGCTCACAGGTATCGCAATCTTTTGGCGGTTCTTCGGAATGCAAGAGCCAGCCTCTGTCGCGTTCTCACTGTGGAATATGTACTATCATATCCAAGGATGGTGCCAGCTTCGCAGCAAAATACCAAGTGACCACCCGATGCGATCTTACTACTTAACATGCACCATAGTGAGTGTTAATGCCTGGCTCTGGTTCGCAGTGTTTCACACAAGAGGTCTGCCCTCAAATTATGCAGGATCACGTTCTCCTACTTATTGATTCCTTGAAGATTTGCCAAACACAGAAAAACTGGATTACTTCTCTGCTGCTCTCGTCATCTTATATTCCCTGTATCACACGGTTTTACGGCTCTTCAATCAATACCCCACCCGTTCGCGTGAGGATGGTCATATCCAGCGCACGCCCGTTCACGTTCTATGGTCGTCCATTTGCACTGTAGTTTACCTTGCCCATGTCACCTATCTCAGCATTCTACCACAGTTTGACTACAGCTATAATATGGCATTTAACCTCACTGTTGGCTTCACGCATAATCTGCTGTGGCTGCTATATTCCCTTCCCGTATCGTTACCCCTCATTCGACACTTTCCTTTCAAATCAAAAACGTACAGACCATCATACGCATCTGAGGTAGCAGTCTTTGTTGTTCTTACGACGGCTGCAACTGCTCTAGAGCTCTTCGACTTCCCTCCCTGGGGTCGCATCATCGAAGGCTCATGCCTTGTGGCACCTCAGTACTGCGCCTATCACAAAGTTCTGGTATGACTTCCTGATCAAATATTCGTTGGATGATGGATGGAGGGAACCAAAAAGGTGAAGACATATTTAGTTTTATCGACTACTGTGTACTAATGGTGTGGAATCTAGATAAATTGTTCAGACGTCTAAAGCTCCTGCTCTAACCTGTTCAATGACTGCATTTTCTCCGTTTCTGTTCAAGCACGAGTAGAGAAACTGCAACATCGTTAGCATCTTCACTTCCTCGCTTCAGCATACCGCACCTATAACTGTATCCAAGGAATTCATCACAGATGACTCGATCTCCAAAAATGCCTGTTGCGATACCATGGTCACCATGAAGTGACGCCTGTGGGGATAGAATGTTGCTGTAGGGGTCGGACTTTGGGCTCCACTCTCATCAAGACTGCGAAACTGTCACTTGTCAGCCCCACCGTATAAATATTGTTGTACTATTTCCTAACCTCGAAATTGGAACCTGCTACAGCCCAGGAGAAATAGTTTCCCTCGCCATCATCAAATTCCCATCGTGCGCTCTATTTCTTCACCTATAGTGTTCTTGTTACCTCACTGATCTGTGTTATTGACGTTGTATTTGCAATAGTATCACGTGGTTCAATGGGTATGACGTCATAGCAACACTACAATCAAATCTAAATAGCATGCAGCAGTAAAGGAAGATGTGCGCGACGCGTGTAGTGAACGCAGAAGAAGTTAAGGAAGTGGCACCGGCGGTTGCTCAGCGCGAGTGCCATTCGACCCACTGCCCTTGCCATCGCCGTCCCGTTCTTGGCCATACTTAACAAGGTCAAGGACCGTCTGCCAGTCGGTGCCGGTTTTCTCCCGACAGATGCGCTTTGGAGCTGGACCACCGTTCTCCTTGTTGGAGTGGGGGAGGTTGGCGCAATCCACCCCCCTCTTCGTCGTCAAACGAACGTTCACAGCAGGAGAGGCTTTGACTTGCAATGTCATAGCCTCGCCACCTGCGCAGCCGGCTTCGACTTTCAAGTCAATGGCGCCCTGGAGCTAGGTCACCATAAAAAATCAAGCGTAGCTGCACCACTTACCATTACATTCTCCCTGTCCAGCTGAAGGTCCTTATAGGCCTTACCCCTATCGCTATACTTTGTAGCCCATGGGCTGCGCTGTGACTCGCTGAGGAGGCTCGTCCACTCGAACTGCTCGACCGCGCCATCACGTCGGAGGCCAGGTGCACAAGTCTTCTTCTTGATGGCTGGAGCAGTGATTGGTAACAACTCCGAGCCAGATCTATGCTTTGTAGCACCGCAGCCGCTGACGGGAGAAGGTGAAAATTCACGCAAGGGCGGGCCCATAAGACTTGGAGGGGTGGTGGTAGAGTCTTCAGGTGAGCAAGTGAAAGGGTTCGTTATGCTTTCACACGATGAATCTGGTTCACAGAACATCAACGCGCCATCACCACTCCCAGATGTGGAAAATCCATCATGATCGTAATGCTGTCGATCATGTTGGACACGGGCTATCGGGTCCTCATCCCAAGACTCGGAGGAATGGGTGCCGCTAATTGTGTATGGATTGGGACGTAACATGCTAAAGCTGGTAAAGAATTAATGACTATAAACTGACGAGTTCTTATACGTATTAAGCTGTGTTGCTGGGCGTCCATCATACCAAGTGTGAGTAACATCGTGCCATGAAGCAAAAGTTCCCATCTTTAGAAAGAGCTGGTTTACTAATTCTCAACCGTTATCAGGTGTAATATGGCGCTCCGCGCTGATCACACGTTGCAACGCGTAGTTAGAACTCGCAAGCAATTTCCATTTTTGACATCTTCTGAGTTCCAAAGCGAGTCATAATCCGTTGAACTTTACGTCCGGTGAGCTCCGAATAGAATCTGTGACAGCGAGAAGCTATTTTCCATTCCGTCAATCACTCAAATACCATTTTTGGGAAGAGCTGAGTTTTAAGTGTCGCAGACAAATCAGATGGCTCGATCATTTGTTATTGGTATTCACTGCTACGGTAATTCTTCAAACTCCGGTTCGTATTTACTAATCACTTGTGTATTCGTCATGCTCTGCTACCCAACACCCATCCAAGTCGCCGAAGAATGAACACAATAACTCTTGCCTGTGATGAAGGCCAATTTAAATGCCCCACTGCAGCCCCTACAGTTTCCTCCGACGAGGTGGACTCCTATAATCATCACAGCTCACCTCCACGCTCTCCACGCTCTTCGAGTCCCGGGCTTTCAGAATCAGGTATTGATAATGCACATTATGCAATGGTCAAGAGACTCAAATGTGACCACCACAGCCACCACAACCTCGGGTTCAGATGCTGAAGAAGCTTTGACGCCTGATTCTAAACATTCCTACCGTACGGGATGCGCGCATATCCTCCCTCATAGGTCACCAACTCTAAGCCGTTCTCAGAGGCAACGCAACCGAGGCTCCCACCCTTACCGCCGGACATCCCCAAGTTTCGAAGAGGAGTGCCTGGGCTCTAAATTATTAGGCAGACCCTCTAATAGTGACGATTCGTCAGAGTCGATGAGCCTCAGGGTAGGTCCTGCTGTTGTGTATAGCTCTGGCAACATCTCACATGTACCTAGGTCAAGGATGTGTATACAAGGCAAATAGAACAGCTCTCACCCGACTCATTCCGTCATGCTGTGCACTACAAAGAAGCAGTTCGTGAACGCAAGCGCATGCGCATGTTCACCGCGGCATGGGAACTCGAGGAGACCAAAAGGCTGCGTGCTTTTCTTCAAACAACCATGGTCAATTCAGAAATGGAATTCGTAGCAGCGGAGGAGGAGTCACGCTGGTTGCTTGATATGATTGTTGACCGTCAGAAACTGAAGTCTGTCAAGGCAGATGTCAGACACGTTACTGCCGCGTATGACAGGGACAAAAAATCTCTTCATCGAGCTGATGCAGAGCTGTCCCTTCTAAAGGACAGCATTATCAAGGCCGAGTCCTGATGACAAATGGTAAGCCTTTTTTCAAGTAATGATTCCCTCCTTTAATCACTGACGTATTTGCAGGCCTCACTCTACTAAGAGTAACGAACATCTCAGTCAAGCGGGGATTGATGGATGAATTAGGCACTTGTACGTTGAAACTTACTGCATACTTCTGTTATACAACTACACTCTTCGCACTCGCTTGTAAGCGCCTTCTGTAAAGTACTACGTCTTAAGCAACCGTCCGAATATTAAATTTTGACTGAAAAGACTTGATGATTGCTCTGATGGGCTTCATACAACGTGGAGTATCGCGCAGGTGACGATCTCAATGCTGATCGAGGAAGCGAAAAATTAAACTGCCTGGGCGTACAAACCAACTGGATTTAGACCTGGCGAGCCTCGTTGTCATCGCAGTTTTATTTACTATTAGTTTTATGGTCTCGTAAATGTTCAATACATTTTTCCTATCACAGAAATCAGGTTTTAAGGAGGTATGAACACTGATTAATCATCCCACCATCAGTCTACCACAACGATGCTACCCGCTTACACCTGCGATGACCAGCAGTCAGATTTCTTTTCTAACGATGAGTATAACTTGGACAGCCTGTTCAACGATGAATTGACCCCCCACGATCACCACGACTACCCGCCACCACACCCCAACCCTTTCTACAGCGATTTCGTGCCGCCTAGCACAGAGACATCAAATATGTTGATTACCAGGGAAGAAGAGACTCACCCCCTTGACTTCCTGCCATCTTCGATCGAAGAGTGGCTCAACCATAACACTTCTGATCACATAACAGTTGACGACCCAGGGACTGCGCTTCGCTTACAAGCGCCAAGTCAACCTGGGCCGCATGATCCCGACAACGAGCCCTTCAACGCAGAGACCGGGCTAAACATCGGCGATTACCTGACCAATTTTTGTCCGCCGGTCCTATCTACGGATGGGGTGTCAACGTTTCCACATGAATTCCAGGGTGAACCAAAACCTCTGGGGGAGCCCTTACCGCCTCCTGTCAATCGCAACCACAGAGCATCGACGAGAACTCACCAATTTCTGTTTCACCCATATTCACACCAACCTGGGGATCATGAGGTGAGCGCAGCGGATGTGCAGCAGCTAAATTGCTGACGGAGTCGTGGTTGCATAGTCCCAAGCTCCCGAGTCTGGACCGTCCATGGTCCAACCACCACTACTCCCCTCGTATGCTGTAAATGATCCTTTGCACGTGGAAATCGTTCGGTCTGCATTGGACCACGTGATTGACTATGCAGTCAACGTTCACTGCCTCCTAAATCAGAAGGCAAGAAAGAAGCTAGTCGAGGAAGCTTTGAATAATGCGGTCAACTCCATCTGCCCTCATACACCGGCAGGTAAGCATGCGTGTCTCTTTTTTGAAAAAAGAACTCACTTCCAAGTTTTGGCCATGCATCAGGGACCAGAAAGAAATGGGTCAAAAAGAATAAGAAGGCGCTGTACCAAAAAATTTCCGATCCTTTCAAGAAGATCATGACCACTTGCAAGAGAATCGCACGGGCCAAAATTTAAACTGGATATCGTTTGCGTCCTGAACCTTGGTCAGGTATCTCTGAACCCGAGCACCAGAGAAAAACAGTCCAAGACCTCATTGACGACAATATCTTCCCTCCCAAATTTAGCGTCGGGAATGACGGTCATGTGCTCGAGAACAGGGTGGTATGGGACATCATTCTCAATGCTCTTCAAGAAGTTGGGTACCAACGGTACCTCAGAACGCTGGATAGCATGATGCCGACAGCAATCGTCGCTGTGTACTGTGCATTATCAGAACTGTCAAGTGGAAGGTTGGTAGACATTGAATTTGGGGCCGATGCCTTTAAAGACCGGTATGACGCACTGCAGCATTATATTAACCAGAAAGTCGCCCATGACATAGCGTTTTCGGAGCGATGGAAAGATTACGAGCAGGTTACTTGTGCCAGGTTGCTTGAGATTTAATTAGTACTCATACTCGATCGTGATGATAACATACCTTGCTACCAACCATTGTACCAACTTCAATACGTGTACTACTAGGCAGTCGTCTTCTCTCAGCATTAGTGCAGATTCTGCAGAAGTAATATTTGAAATCAATAAATCACCTGATCATGACTCGCATCCCCGACTCCCATGTTAAGGGCTTTGTCGAACACAAACGAATTCCCATGCGTCAGCCGATCAGTGTAAAGCTGTGCACTTGGCCAGAATCTTAATTTTATTCTCATCTCTACAGTTTTTGGCAAATACTCACCATCATACTTTTGTCAGTAGCTGAGCGCTGAGTCTTATTACATGGATCTCACCGCTCTCGGACATCCAAACCTGCGCGATGGCAGTTCTACATCTGTTTTTAAAGCCACTGAGACGACATCATTGTAGGCTTTGTGGAAGGATTGTGTGTGCTGAGTGTTCTGGATGGGTAAGTCTTGTGTTTTACTGTGTTTCGCTTTTCTCTGTCATTCGTTTGCTTTTTCGCTACAGTTGATCCTTTGGTTTTCCACGCCGCAAACTAACACTCCTAAACTCAGACATTCTACATCACCGACCCATCCTCCCAATCCCCTTCTGGCAAAAACACCAAAGCGAAACCTGCACGCGCATGCAACGAGTGCTACGAAGCTGCCTTTCCTCCCGTCCAGTCCATCACCGGTGGTTCTAGTACTCCATCTACTTTATCAGCAAATCCATCTACACACCACTCCCCAACCCTCCATGGTATCCCAGCCTGGCTCTCTACGCCTATCCCCACTGAAGGGAGTAGTGGTGCTCACATGTTGATGGCGATGACGTTGAGCCCTAGTTCTCAAACGGTGGACTGCTTTTATGATTTCATCTTCATGGTCACCTTCTCATCGGACATCTTGCGCAAATTTGCTAGATTCATTGCACTCTTGTTGAAATCTTCACTTCATCGAGCATGCTATACATTGCGAATTTTCTATGCCCTACTCCGTAGGCTGGGACACATGTGTATTCGCCTCGGCCATGATAGCTCCTCAACTAGAAGACTTCAAGAAGAGTTGAGCCCTGCAATTTGTTCGAGCGGCTTACCTACGATCCATACACTCTCGACAGATGTCAACCAGCCTGGTGACCGACCACATAGTACGCTCGCAGTACCAGTGGACATTGCATCTCCGCAGCATCCATTGTACCTGACGCCACCTTCGCACCCCAATTCCAGAGACGACTTCAGCATAGGGACTATGGATGAATGTGGGTGGCGCGACTTTGTGCACCCGGAAGGTCCCAGAGTTTATTATCACCACGAGACAGTTAGCATGTGTCCCTAGATTGATTTTCTAAAATGCTCATACACTTTATAGAGAGTTTTCACAGATGCAGACATGCGCCTAAGCAAGATGGATTCGAAGAGGCTCCTGGGGATGGCTAAAGCCCTCAAGGATTATGCAAAGAGTCAATCAGACGTACAGGCCAGGATCGGTGATGGAACAGAATTGGTGCTCGAGCTCAACACCGAAAAAGGTCGTACTAACATCATCAAGTCTTGTGGCTACTATTTTGGGCGCATTCATATACTTGCGAACCACATGGTGAGATTCTGTTCAACGTCAAGGCAGCCAAGAAACTCAGTCATATAAGTGGGTGGTTCACTGCTGTTTGGATGACCCTTAAACACCTGCTTTTAGAGTATTCATTGGAATCGCAATACTGGCCAGTACTCTCCAAGGGATCAGTACGCTCAGTGAACAAATATTTTCGATCAATTTTACTGACTCGCACACAATAGCGTGTTAGCGACGCTTACAGTCTTCTAGGTATCACTGCGAGCTTTATCCTCACAACCGATACCTTCCGAGATGAATCTTCGAAGAGTTGAGGGCAATCATTGTTCATGCAAACGCAGGCAGGCTATGTGATTGTAACTTAATACAGAATCTTACGATCATGATAGAAACTATCACCTCAGATACATCACTGGCCCCTTTCGATGGCAATGAACTAGTGAAGATGCTGGATCTAATGGACCGTGTTGAGGGTTAGACTTGCTCCGTGTATTTTCGACCCAAACTAAATGCTGAACTAGGCAGCATCGATAAAATGCATGCTTATTCTGTGTGTGTTGTAGGCGAGTTGTTTTCCATGAATGACAACAGTATATTGATCTACTCTTTACAGCTCGGTTCATGAGATTGTTCAGTACGGATATATTTTTCGATTCACGAATAATACTAACAAGGCTCAGCCAAAGTCAAATTCACAAACTTCTGCGGACAACCTGGCGTGCGTGTTGACGCCGACAGGTCCATCTATTACAGAGAGGGCCACGAACGCGAAACACTCATCTTCAGGCTCCTCAACCTAATACTCTGGTATGGGCCACGTAAACACTATAAGCGTGTACAGAGAGTATGGGTGGACGAGATCATCAATGCCCCACGCTGGAAAGACTCTATCAACCAACTAGATAACGAGTGGCTGGGGTTCACGATCTATGTAAGTGCTTGATACATATTGAGTGCAATCGTATGGGATCTTTTTTTAGTTCAACGAGCCTCCTTGATCACCTTATCTCTCTCTTTACACGACATTTATAACCGCATTCCCAAGTTCTATATCCTTCCTTTCCCGTCCACCCGCGCCATTTGCCCTATATCTACGAACACAAGAACGCGATCCACGCTGTGGGCAGCTAAAACTCACGGATTGGCTTTTGAGTGCTTCCACAGGTATGTCCACGGCGTTCTTACTCCTAGTTTAACACTGACGCCACACAGCACGACCCCTGGCTCAGGATAGTCTACATGCACGACCAGGCGAAGACATGAACATAGGCTGCATTTTTTCGGTTCCAACTTGTATGTTGGGTCACCTACATTTAATATCGACTCAGAAGATGCGACTGGAGCAAGTGGGCGACACATTTCTAGCTTCGTTACTGTCATATGCTGATCAGTCCTCTAGCGTACAACACTCCCGAGGACAGGTTCTGGCCACAGCGAACACCGTCTTCAGTAGCCTATTC